GAAGCTGCCCCCACACCCATGAAAGCATGGGATTAAATTTCAACATGAAATATGGAGCCAGCCTTCAAAGCACAGCCTGAGGGGACATTTAGTGGGGGCAGGGTTTCGGTGTGGGAAGATTGAAAAGCCCTGGAGATAGCTGCACAACAAAATGAACTTGGTGCTGCTGAGCTGCATACCTAACAATCAATTCAGAGTTCTATGTATTTCACAAGGCTGTTAAAAAAAAAAATGCTGCCATGGCCTAAGCTTAGCTTTCTCTGGGCGTGCTTCTAGACAGATGAAGGAGAACAAAAGATCTAGATGCACATGGAGCAGAGGGTCAAGACCAGCCTGGCCGTGTCTTGTGCTAAAACAGCAGAAGCTGGCCTGGCTTGGCCCTTTCCTGCTGCTCCCACCACAGCTCTTCATCAGGCGCCGTGAGCAGGCGCACAGTGACATCATGCAGGGCCGCTCTGTGGAGATCAGCGCTTATTTGAAGATCTTAGTGCTTCATTTAGCCTCACCCAGAGGTGACCTTCTGCACAGAGCCAAAAGAAAAGTGATTTCTTTGATCATCCATCTGACCCCAAGTGACCTCTTGCATTTTTCAATTCATTTTACATCATGCTGCACTGGCCAATGTGATTCCAGCTCTTAGCAAACAACAGCTCATGGTTTTACCAATGATCCTGGGTCAACTTCAGAATTGTTCACTTGGACAGAAACAGAAAATCTGAGCTGTCTCTCTGGCTGGGAGCAGTGGGGAGGGCAGAGGAGGGGCAGTAGGGAGGGCGGTGGGAGGGCAGAGGAGGGAATGGTGGAATGAAGATTTGGGGTGGGCTGTGAATTGATGTTAAATTGATGCCCCTTTATGCCACATCTAACTTAGAGGAAGCCAGACTTCAGTGCAGAGTAGTGGCTGTGGTTCCATTTTCCTCTGGTCACCATCAGCGTAGCCCCAGGAAGGACAGTCTGAGTCCCTTGCATTGCTTATGATACTTAGAGCAGCAGGTAACACAAAGTCTAACCTGGGATTGCTTGAGCAGTGGAGAGTTTCTTCCCTCAACAGGGCTGGATGCAAGATGACTGTGTGGTTGGTAATGAGCACGTCAATATCATAAGCAAGGGCCCATCTCCATTGCTCCAGATTCACAAGATAGCTGCCACAGCTTCAGAAACCCCATGCAGACTGGGCAATGGAGGGTAAACCTTCTATGGTCTTCCCCAGCAACCTGTACATTTTCCTCTCACATGCCCAAACCAAGAGTCAGTGAACTTGCTTTGTAAAAAGCCAAAATGGTAAACGTGTTGGCTGTGAGGTCATACATTTGGTCTAGTCACCATACTCTGCCATTAGAATGTGAAAACTGTTGCAGAGAGTCTATCTACAAACAAGTTTGGATGCTTTCCAATAAATCTTTATTTCTATAAAATGTGACTGGCTAGAGTTGGCCTGTGGCTGTCAGTCTGCATCCCTGTTATATTCTAACTATTCTCAAACATAGGATACAATTGAATACAAATCACATCATGAGTAATTTGTTACTAATTTATGATGACAATGTAAGTGGCTTCCTCCATTCTCTGTTGGCATCATTGAGGATATTCAAGAGGTTCTAATTCATAACACTGGGCATAAGATCACCCAGTAGGCAGATGAATCATAGCATTGCAAAGCTGAAACACCAAGATAAATGAGAATAAAATTTCACAGAACTTCTTATTCCGTAATGAGCATCCAAGCAGATGCCAGGAGAAGGCAAAGAAGTTGGCTCACCTTTGTTCAACTTTACACATTTAACATTTGAGAAAATAATAGATTGGCAGGGGGATGATGAGCCCTCTGAATGTCTAAATTCGGTTAATGTCCTCATTTCTCTTAAATTGAAAGACAAGACTGAAAAGACATAACCACCCATCTAAACCCCCAGTTCTTCAGCTCAGGGAATGGAAGCCCAAGGAAGGGCAGTCACACAGTAACAGAACCAAGATCCAAGCACAGGCTGAGGTAGGTTGTGATACTGTTTGGAACCTTTGTGCCACTCCACCTAAGAGGACAGGTTGTACAATCTCCTACAAAGACAGCTGGGCTTCTGTGACCTACGGTGCTCCTTCCTGAAGATGAGTATATGCCATACATTGTTGAACTGAGGAGTGGCCACATGACTTTCGTTGCCCATGAAATATGGGCTAAAGTGACACACATTGTTTCTGATTACCACACCCACTTGTCCCCTGCCACAAGACTGACACTATTCCAGGCAGAGTCTGCTCTGCTACCTGACTCACACAGTGAAGAGGATAAAGGACAACCATCTCTGACCTTTGATAGGCCTGTCACCAGAACAAGAAATAAACCATCGGGGTAAGGAGTCATTTGTTACTGCAGCATAACTGAGTCTGACCAATACACAGGCTTTTCAGCCCTGAACACTGTTGTCACCTGAAGGTCTCAGATTACCAGTAATATTAAATGGAATTTAACAGTGCAGATGATTCAGCGTGGCTAAGTAATGTCCCCCATAGGCTCATGGCTTAAAACTTGGTCCTCTCAGATGGTGAAATGATTTTGGAAGGTCCTAGGAACACAGAAAACAAGGAAAAAAGCCACAGAAAGTAGGCCACTAGGTTGGGTCTTTGGGGATATAGTATCCCTAGCTATTCACTTCCTTTCCTGCTTTCTGTTTCCTAGCCTGCTATGAGGTGAACTAAGATGCTCTACTGTGCCCTCTACATAATGATAGATCCTCCAACACCGTGTGACCCCAAATAAGTCTTTCCTCCCTTAAACTATTTCTGCCATGTATTTTGAAGCAGCCATAAGGAAGGTAATTAATAAAACAGGTTTTGGGGTCAGCCTGCTTGCTATTCAAATTCCAATAGTAGGGTAATCTTGGTCGCTGTCTCAGTTCCTCAGTTCCCCCATCAGTAGTATAATACTAGTGCTGTTTATGCGGTTATAACAAAACACCATGGACCAAGTAGTTTGTCAACAGCAGAAACTGATTGCTCATAGTTCTGGAACTGGGAAATAGTATTGGATGGGGCTGTCTACTTCACGGATGTTGACTTTCATGTGTCTTCCATCCTTAAAGTAGTGAACGAACTGTCAGCCCTTTCTCAGACAGACACGAGTCCCATTCATGAGGTCTCTGCCCTCACAACCTAATCTCCCTACAAGCCAAGACTCTTCATATTATTGTACTTCTGATTAGGTTTCAACATATAAGGAACATAACTTCAGACCATGGTGGGTAGATATTCCTTGAAGACATGGTAAGGATTCCTTACTTTGAAGATCACACAGGCCATTCATTCAACATAGTCCAGCCCTGGATGACATTTCAGTGACAGTAAGTTGGGGAAGTCAAGGGATTTCACTGAGACTATCCCATGTTCTGTATGCCAACGACAACATTTCCAGAAGTTTCTCTCCCCTCTGTGATACTGACAAGTGTCACTGCCTCTGAGCAGGCCCAGGAGAATGGGGAAGAGGGTTTAGGAGCAAAGCCCCGGCATCATTGAACCCGGCTAGGGTTCAAATGCTATCTCTGCCCCTTCCTTCCTGTGTGCCTGTAGCTAAACCCCTATCCTCAGGAAACCTCATCTTGCATTCCTCAGAGTGAGGTAAGGATTAGGCGAAGTGATTCATGAAAAACTGCTCATCATGGTGGCTGGCACACTGCAAAGGCTCAGCAAACATCGGGATCAATATCAGTATTCTCTCCTGCCAGCACAACAGGAAGAGCCCGGGCAGAAGGAGCCAGGAAAGGTGAGTCATCTCTTACAAAGTCTGAGTGAGCAGCCTACCCTCGTCCTTGTGAGAACCCTTCCTTGAAGTCACAAATAGATCGTCAGTTGGACTCAAAGTTAGTAGAAAATGAGGTATCTGTCACCCACATCTCATAGCTGTCACAGATTCCCCAGACCACCAGGGATAGCCAAATCAGATTATCATGTCAAAAGAGTTACGGGGCATCCACCAAAAACTTGCCCAGAGTTTGATTATATAAGTGTCCCTTTACACAAAGTCCACAATCGCCATAAAGCTGCCCATGAAAGGAATCACCTCATTTCTGTCTTTTTCAGCCACATCCTTTTGAGGGTACCCCATCTGCTGATGGCAGGATTCAATGGAAATGCCTGAAAAGGGGCTTTAACACACTCGACTAGGACCTCCACCTGAGGCCAGCTGCGCTGGCTCCTCCTCTAGTCCAGCCTGGAGCCTGTCCAGTCACAGGATGCAGACTATCTGGTTGGAGATAAACCTCACCAGCACAGCCTTTGCCACAGTGGCTGTTGGGTATGTTATTAGTTACTTTTCTTATTGTTGTGACCAAAATACCCAACAAGAAGTAACTTAAGAAGGGTATGGTACATTATGGTGGAGAACACATGGGAGCAGAAAGCAGAGTTAAGGAAGCCAGGAGGCAGAGAGACCCTGAAGTAGAGCGGGTTCACCTTACCTTTGTGTTGAGTCTAGGGTCCCACCCATGGGTCGGTGCCATCTACATTTAGGGTCTTCCCATCTTAATTAACTCAATCTAGAAACTCCCTCACTGTTGTGCCCAGAGGTTTGCCTTCTGGATGATTCTAGGTCCTTCCATACTAACCATCACAAATCTATCCTGTCAATTTGATTCTCCTGTGGTCCCTGGGCCCTCTAGGCTCACCACCATTTCATTATGCAGGATGCATTCATTTCAACTTCAAAGGCCCCCATAATTTTTGACAATTACAACACTGTTTAAATGTTCAAAGCCCAACTCTTCAGAGATTCAAGGCAAGCTCTTAGCTTCGAGCTCCTATAAAACAAAAAAGCAAGTTACATAGCTTCAGTAAATATACAGTGGTTATACTGGTTAGTTTTTATTGTCAACTGGACACAACTTAGAGTCACCTGGAAAGGGGAAAGCTCAGTTATGGAATTGCCTTGGTCAGACTGGCTAGAGGCCATGTCTGTGAGGGATTATTTTGATTGATGATTGATATGGAAGGGTCCAGCCCACTGTGGGTGCACCTTCCCAAGGCAGATGGCCTAGGCTATATAAGAAAGCAACAGAGAACAAGTCAATAAGCAATGTTTCTCCTTGAGTTTCTTCCCTGACTTCCATCAATGATGGAAAAGTGGTACCATGTGAACAACATTGCCAAGTCTTGCTACCAGCTTAAGATGCAGTCTGGCCCCTTTGGGCCTCAGTTTCAGAGGCCTCTGTGTGCTGATCCCATAGAAACACTTCCCTGGACTGTTGTTTTTGAGTAGGGAACTCCTTCAACATCATTTTCATTTCAGGCTCTCTCAATTCAGACCAATGTTATCCTTTCTTAAAACTTCTTTTCACTAAACAGATTAGTCCTTTACTTTCTGATCCAGCTTCATTTGAGTTCTCAGGGCACAAGTAGGATGATGCAGTGACATGATTTGCCAAAAACAGTGAACAGCCTCTAGTCCAGTTCTCCTCTGAGCTTTAATAAGCGGGGCCTCTACCTTCCTCATTTCTTTTGGCATTCTGGTCTTCCAAACTCCAACCAGATGTCCCATTAAACTCTGGTTACAGCATTCTAGGGTTTCTCTAGCCCCAAACTCCAGACCCTTCCACAGTCCTCCCACACACTAGTTCCAAAAACTTACAAACGACATGATCAGGCCTCTTACAACAGCAGTACCACCCCTTGGTACTAGTTTTCTGTATTAGTTCCTTTTCTCATTGCTGTGAACGAAATGCTTGACCAAGCAACTTGAGGAATCAAGGATTTATTTCGACGTATAGTTTCAGGGAATGTACCTTGTATCACGCTGGGGAAGGCATGAGAGTGGGAATGGGAGGCAGCTGGTCAGAGAGTGTCTGCCATCGGGAAGCAGAGACCAAAGCTGGTGCCCAGCCACCGCTCCCCTTTTCATTCGGTCCCAGCCCCCGGCCCATGAAATGCTGCCGCCCACACTTAGAGTAGATCTTCCCACCTCAGCTAACCTAATCTACAAACCCCCTCACAGACATGCCCCCAATGTCTAGATAATTCTAGGTCCTGCCAAGTTGATAGCCAGTAAGAACCATCACAGCTTGTGTGATGGGAATCCCCAGATTAATCTTCTATCATGCTGGTGAACTTGGAAGTCAGACATAATAGGCCCACCGTAAGTGTTTTCTGAATGTTCCTAAGTGCCAGATACTGTCTTTCTCCATGTTTGCAAGAAACAGGGTAGAGTGTGACTCGGGAGGAGCTTTGTTGGCCACATTGCTGTATGTTATATCTAAGGTGTTGCCTAGGACTGGGAAGAAAGTACAGGGAACCTCATTCAAACAATACAAGAACCTTTCACGCTCACCAGAAATATAAAGAGGGCCTTCAACCCCAAAGAATGACAAATGCCATTCTAATTAGCAGTACTCACACTGGGGCTACTGGATATGTCTTTTCTATAATCCTCACAGAAAAACTTGAGGTTGGTGAACAACTGTGTAGATTCATTACTGAGCCAAAAGAGATGGAAGCAAAGGTCTACGGGAAGGAATAGTTCAAACAGAGACATCTTCAGTGAGACCACTGCAAGGCAACATTTCAGGGTCATTTAGTTTCTTATTGCATTTTAATGACCAATAAAGAAGATATAAAAATGTCATATATTCAGAAACGCCAGAATTTTGCTTTCTGGTTATTTTAACAGATCAACTGCAATGTACAATATGATTTCTTTGAAAAATCTCAGGCCAAACACTATCATCAGTCTTTGTGCTGTGGATCTGTGAGCTTATCACATAGTTGAGATTAAAGTGAAATGAAGTTAAACAGAAAGAAAAGTTTTCTCTTTCCTTTTCTGGCAACAGAAGTGAGAAATCCTCCATAAACTCCAGTCTTGGGCGTTGTCCCATTGTTTGCGTTGACTGGTTTTTGCCAGGAAGTTAAAATGTTCCCATTCTCAGGCATTATGTAGTATTGGTGGGAACATGTGAGGGACTCCTGGGGTTTTCAGAGGTGAGAGGCAGCTTCCAACCTACCAGCTTTGTCTGCACTCTTCACCATCCAGAACCAACCCCGAGTCTGCCACAGGAGGTGACCAAAAGGGCTGCAGAGAGCAAGGGACACATCTCAGCCCCCGCTCACCCTGTGCTCCATGGGTGGGAGGGGCTGTGTCAGGGGCTGCATGACTCTGCCTTCAGGCTTCTGCTCTCACACATCCATTGCCTCCTCTCAAATCAACCACAGGACCTTTACAGTCGAACTTCTGCAGCTAGTAACATCGCAAATGCAGAGTCAGGCTTCTCAGCAAGGACTTCAGGCTTGTCAAACTCAATCACCTGAAAATCAGAGAGGCACTGAAATTTTCAGAAAAAAAATAAAAATGTACACACCACAGCCCTGACTGGGGAAGCCTTTGAGGAGGTAACGCCAACCAGAACTTTCTGCACCTTCCCATTTTCCATGACCAGGACAAGGTCACAGTTGAGAACCGTGTTTAGGCGATGGGCGATGGTCAACACTGTGCAGCTTTTGAAGGCATCTTTTACAGTGCTTTGAACAAGAGTGTCTGTCTTGGAGTCCATGGAGGCGGTAGCTTCATCAAGGAGAATGATCTGTTAAGGAAGAAGCATCGTAAAAGCCAAAACTGTACAAAGAGGAAAATGCATAGCCTCAGTTCTTTCCTAAAAGATGAGGAAAAAGCAAACACAATAAACTAAGCACCCATCTTGAAAAGCTACAGAAAAGGCCAGAAATAATGTCCAACCGCACCCCCTCATCATCCTGAGAGGGATTTGTTAGAGGGACAAGATAGTATTTTCTCCTTTCTTAAAGTAGTTTATTCAATCCAGTAGGAAGGAAAAAACATCATACATTGCAACTAGGAAGGAACACGATGAGAACCTTCTGTAGGACACAGTGTGTACACAGTATGAGCCAGCGTAGGCATGGTGACAGTACTTGTATTCCTTTACTAGAGCTGCTGGAATAAATTACCATCAACTTGGAGACTCGGAGCAACACAAATTCACATCTTACATTTCCAGAACCTGGAATCCTGCAATCAAGACTGGAAGCTGCATTCCTTCTGCCTTTCCAGTGTTTGCAGGCCAACTGCATTCCTCAGCCCTTTCCTACCACCACATCTGCTCTCTGATGCTCCTGCCTGCTTCTTATACTTCTTACAGAGACACATGGAAATACACCAGACATTAGACCCACCCGATCCAAGACAATCTTCCTATTTCAAGATCTTTAATATCCTTATAACAACAAAGTCCCTTTTGCCACATGAGGGAGCATACACGTTTGGGGTACATGACAAGGACATCAATTTGGAGTTGAGAAGAGCATCATTCTGTCTGCCAAAGCACTGTTTGGATTTTACAATTTGAAGGTTTAACCTCAACCCCTAACTATACTTGACCTTGTCAAATTACTTAACTTCCTCCCATATAAAGAGTTCATGTCTTATTATTTACACAAAGCATGAAGCCGCATAGCTACTTCACAGTGAATATTGCCACCAAGGGCACTAAATGGTCCCCTTTCCTTCTGTGAACACCTCTTAAGAACACATCAAGTGGATTCACATTGATTAATACCCGACTAGTAAGATTTCTTTTTCTTTTTCTTCCTTAATTGTTATGTGGACGTGTATGTGCCTGTGTGTGAGTACATAAACACATACATGCAAGTGCTGGCAGAGTCCAGAAGAGGGTTTCAGATCCCCTGGAACTGGAGTTACAGGCTGTTGTGAACCACATGATGTGAGTCCTGGGAATCGAACCCAGATCCTCTGCAAGAGCAGCAAACATTCTTAACCCACTGAGCCATCTCTTCAGTTCCCAGAAAGTAGGATTTGTTAAAAGTAATAACAACAATAATGACAACTGTCATTCTCTTTCTCAGAATCAGTAAGGCTGGTTAAGTCATTAGGAAAGATATATATATATATAAATTTTTCAAATCTTATAAATGAGCATTCTGAAGGCTTGGGTGTCCTGGGTACTGTGTCTGAGGTCTCAGAATTATTCTGGGACAAAGGGAAAAAGTTGAGAGCATACTTTTCAAACTCAAGCCTCCTAGGAGACTGGAGAGAATGCATAAGCAAGACCTCCCAAAGGGAAGCCTAGATAAGGAAGGTGCCACTCCTGAAAATGGCTGTTATTTTTCAATTGTTACCCCTCACAACTTTGTCTTAAGAGAAAGTGATCGGTTTTTAAATTACTGCATTGCTCTGTCTTTGCTGAAAGACAAGCGGGTACCTCTGCCTCCTGGATTGAGAGGCACTGCAGGGAATATCCAAAATTTGACCAATCCATTTTCCATGCTGTTTCCTTACTTTTGAATTACGGAGAAGTGCTCGGGCCATACAAAGCAGCTGGCGTTCTCCCACTGAGAAGTTTTCCCCGTTTTCTGTGACTTCTGCCTGTAATTTCTCTGGGAGTTTCATTATCTATAAAACACAGAAAATGACACATTTATGCTGATGATCTATAAAATTGTCCTGTGTCGTCTTATTGATTGCCCCTCCTCTTGCATTCATCAGCTTGCGTTATCTTACAATGGGAAAGAAGGTGCGAAACAGCCATCATTTCAATACTGCAAGCTGGCACCAGGAGGGCCAGGGTGTGGGAGACGTTAATAATGTAAAGCCAGTGTGACTCACCAGAAAGGACAAATCATGCATCTACTTCTAGTGAATATTTAAGCAAACGGAAGTGTGTTTCGGGGTTGCAATTTTCATGGGTGAAACAGAGATTGGACAGGAGTGTTTCCAAGATGTGATGTGCTTCCATCACAACAAACTAAAGTGGCTTTGGGAGTTGCTTGCCTCAGCTGTGACTGCAGCTCCTAACAGGACAAGGTCTTATGTCATAGACAACTCAAACCAGTCACACTTGTGACCCCAGAACAAGCTACACTATTCATCATTCTGTTCTGATAAAGCTAGTGGGTCCACAGGCCAAGTAATATGGCCTTCCCCTCACTCTGGACCCAGATGGACCTGGATTCAAGTCTCCATCCTGCTACTCACTGGCATGGACATATTACTTCTTTGAGCTTTAATTTTATCATTTCAAAAATGAAGGAGAAGAGTACCAGCCTCTGAGGGCTATGCAGAGAACCAAGAGAGATGACGGTACATGTAGAGCTGTTGTCTGAACGAACCAGAGAGCAAACAAATAGTACTGTGGTTGTTTTTGATAATCAGGAGCAATAAGGATTGAACTTCACTGACGTACGTCACTCCTGTAAATTCACTTGACCAAGTGCTGGCCCCAGGGCCAGGTATCTGGGGCAGTGGTATTGGGAACGGACTCATGCTGGGAAGCCCCAGAGACCTACTGTGTCTCTCATGAATGTTCTCTCCAACACATGCCACAGCATCTCGTCAGTGTGACTCTCCAAGGGATCCAAGTTGAACCTGTGATGAAGCAAAGGAAAGCAAGCTGGATTATCAAGGACGAAACAGTGGTGAGCACCGTGAAGATGAGGATGAGGAGGAGATGTGACGTCAGGAAGGCCCATGGGTGGCCTCTGGAAACTGTAGAGGGTAAGGACACATTCTCTTCCCAATAGCATGTTGAGGGACAAGAAGAGGTGTGATGGGAGGAGCTTGTTCAGCCCAGGCCACAAGACCAAGGACCCACAACTCTCAGTGAAGGAGCAGAGACCTTGGAGGCAGGCAGGAGTGAGAAACCCCACCTAGAGGCAGACCAAGCACAACCACACCAGGGTCCACTGCATCAACACACAGCAAAGCATATGGACCTTATACAAGTTCTTGGCAAAGAAAGGGGAAAAGAAACTTGGCCCAGCATCCCTTTCAGCCTTCATGACAAGAGGCATGGCTGCAGATTCCTGCTCCCACCCAGGAATGCGAATCGAGTGTTTTGAGGTGCATATCACACCAGTCATCTGATCAGCTTTATAGAGCCTCCTTATTTCACCCTGGACCAGCTGAGATGCTCGGATCCCCCTGTGTGAGTCACAACCTTGGTCTTCCTGTACTTGATCAGTTTCTGTTCTGTAGCAGGAATGAACTAATGCACATGCCAAAGCCCGCTGCACACACAGGCCGGGCAATGACTTAGTCCACTGCGCACTTGGGGCCACTTTTGAGAGTGGTCATTGCTAACCCTGATGTAATGTCAGAACACAGGCATAAAATAGGGTTGTTTGGGCCAACTGTGATATCTGCTCACTCAAAATATAATAAAATCACTAATAATAACATTGCTAATGCTATTAAAACTATGAATATCACTACAAATAATGTGTTGATATTAACAATGTGATAATATATTATAATACCAGCAAGACTCAGGACACTGTTCCTCAGCCCCTTCTAAATCTTTAGTAAAATCCAGACACCAGCAAGGCTTCTGAGTGCCTGCACAGGCCAGTTCCCTGAGCTAAGACTGCCAAGAACAGCCATGGCCCGGCAATTTCTCAGCTACTCGTTGGCCCAATATCACCGTCTCCAAACAGTAATGCACGATGATTGAAAACAGCTACCTTACTGTACCTACAAACAGGACAGGATCTTGGGGGATCATGGTCAGCTTGGTTCGGAGGTCCTCCAAACCCACAGTGCAGATATCCACCTCGTCAATGAAGATGGTTCCAGAGGCTGGCTCCACCAGACGGAACAGGGCCATGCCCAGTGACGATTTTCCTGGGGACAATAAGAGCAGGAACAACAATCCAACAGCGGTTTTCACTTCCATCATGTCCAAGCATTTAATTAAGGGAATTTTTAATGCGATGAAATGGATCCATGTGGATGACTTTGCAGGCAGACATCACTCACTCTGGGGGACCAAGCTGCCCTAACACCATTAACCTGCCAGTCCCTATAGAGGCCTTTAAGCACATAACTCATCTTCTGGGCCTCATTTCTCCAGAATTATTCTCATTCAATTAATTCAAAAACTACTATGTATTTGCTTCCAACTCTCCACACCCAATCAACCTGAAACTCTAATTTACAGTAAAGAGATTTGAGGGGAAAATAACAATGAATCCAGCACTTGTTGCATCTCTCCGATATGGCTTAACCAGCACGTCCAGTGCAAATTCAAACAAACAACCCCAAAGAAATAAATGCCGAGTTTGTCCTCACCAGAACCTGTTCTTCCCACAATCCCAACCGTCTGCCCACTTTGGATGTTCAAGTTCAGCCCATCGAGCACGAGAGGGGTGTTGTCTCTGTATCTCATGCGATAGTCCTTGAAAGTTATCTCCCCACGGCTTGGCCAGTCTTTGGGACAGGTCCCCACTTTGAAGGGGTGAGTGTGTTCAGGAACACAAGTCTGAAAAGCAGAACAGCCATTGACCAACTAGACAGCCACCGGTTTCCACCAACCTAGCTCACTCATTCCACAGCTGCCAATGCTGGTGCCTGTGGTGGTGAGTGAGACCCATAACCCTGTACTCAAGCCCAGTGTGGTGCTGCACACCTGCAATCATAACATTCAGGAAGCTGATGCAGGGGGATTGAGAGTTCCAGGACAGCATGGGCTACATGAGATACTCCACACAAAAAAAGCCGGTCACATTTCAGTGGGGTACATTAGGTAATAAAAAGGAGTATTGTAGTAAGAAAGTGACTTGTTTGGCAGGTGGAAGCAAGCAGAATAAAATGATGTGAGGGCTGAAGAAGGCGTCTCTGAGGATGTGGCACTAGATGAGACCCAGAATACAGAAAGGATGACAACTACCAGAGTTTCTGTCCAGGACCTTCCAGACATGGAGGACAGGTACTGCAAAGCCTGGCAGCCAGAAGAACCTTCAGTAACTCCAGGTATGAAAAGGAAAGGCCGTGTAGGGCTGGAACTTAGTGAAGGAAGGGCGGATGACTTAGGGGGATAAGCATGCGACAGCTCACACTGAGCCATGTGACCTTGAAGCTGTGGGACAAATCCAGAGTGTACCTTGAGATTCAATCTAATTTCAGTGTCTACAAAAGCCACCAGGGTGCTAGGGATAGGAAGATGACAGAGAATGAGGAAGGGCATGCTTAAAGATCTTTAGAGTTCACAGAAAAAAAAAATTGAGCTGTCTTCATGTGCACCCCAAACCTCACCATCAAATGAACACAAAGCTGGCTCTGTTAGGAGACCAGTCCTTTGTCTCACATTATCATGGCCCTCCCAGGTACGAGGAGTCCACGGTGCCCATCAGAGTGACTGTCCAGCCCAAGTCTCTAGTCAATAAGTGACCTCAATTAGCTGAGAAAACATTTGCCTTCTTAGTGGGCATTTTAAACCCCTATAAGATTTGGAATTAAAAATAAAAATATTTAAAAAGAACCAATACTGTACTAGCAATGTTTTTAGTTTAAGGAATCTGCTTATTTTATGCTCCAAATAGTTGGAGTATTTACAGAATTGGGGCTTGAGAGTCTAACTTAAAATGTATACTTGAATAATTTAAATGTGGTTTTAAGTCAAAAGCTTTCTGCTTACATACGGAACTGTCCCGAGACTCCCAAGTTCACTACATTCACAAGCTCAGTTAGACACACACACCCAGGAAGATCTGTGTGTTAAAGCAGGTCATGGGGGCATTTTCAACGGGAAATTGAATGTGCCAAATTTTAAAATGTTAAGAGTGTTGAATTTAGCTTGTAAAGGGGGCCAAACACCGTCCACAAAAGTGATTGCTGGGTTTACGTAGACAGCCTTTCTCAGAACAGTTGTGTTCCTACACTGCACCGAAAAGCTTTCAAAGAAGAGGTGAACTGATCTTCTTTTGCTATTTAGAACTTGCATCAAATATTAATTTTCAGACACTGAAGTGAGGCCCTGAATTTTGGATTGGATTGTGGATACAGGTTTTAACAGGACGGGTGACGGGTCAGACTTCAGTTATTAAAAGGATCCCATTAATATACTGAAAAAAAAAGAGGAAAAGAGAAAAACAGGGACTGGAGAGATGGCTCAGTGGTTAAGAGTATGTATTGCTCTTCCAGAGGACCAGAGTTTGATTCCCAGCACCCAACTGGGTGGCTCACAACCACATCTGGCCACTATGCTCGCTCACGCTCTCTCTCTCTCTCTCTCTCTCTCACACACACACACACACACACACACACACACACACACTCACACACTCGCTCACACAATTAAAATTTATATAAATCCTTAAAGAAAAATCAAAACATGACCGATGGGAAGAGCCTGCCCATTTTCCGCTGTTCACTCACTCCTTACCGAAATGTACTCCCTCAGCAGCTCCGCGGAGGTGAACTTGGCTTGGGTCTCTGTTCCCGTTCGCACACACACTTGCAGCAGTCCACTGAGCTGTTGGAAAGAAGCAGACAGCTACTGAGGGTCCCCTTCCTCCCTTGGTCTGCACAGTTTTACTTTTGTAAAGTCTGCCACTTCAAATTACCTGCTTGGGCTCAGGCAACATGCAAAGGAGGCTTGCAGTCCCAGGCAGGCACAGAAGGCCACATTTCCTGTTGGGATGCTTTGCATTTAAACATTTCCTTTATACTTAAAAACAAATGGTATTTACATTTTCTCTCTCACTCCAGATGGTGAGAATCATCCCACCACCTTGATCACTCCTGTGAGCCAGTCCCAACCGCCATGGAGAGGAGATTCATCCGCCAAATTGCTGGGGGTTGGCTCCTTGCTGCCACCTGGTGGGGTGCTGCATCCCACTCCCACTTCTTAACGCCCCCATCAGGGGCAGTAAAGCCTTTGAAAACCACCAGCAGAAACCAGAGAACTGTTACACACACCTGCCCCAGATATAAGAAATCAGGATCCAGGCTGAGGGAGGTAGTTTGCCAAGGGGACCCACTTTAGGCCAGGATCCCCCGGAATCTAACTCCAAGATTGGTGTGCAAGTCATAACTGGGGCAGGTTGGAGTAGGCCTTCTCCCCCACTGCAAATGTCTGTATCCAAATCTCTAGAATCCAAGAATGTTAGCCCATTTGGAGAAGTACCTTTGCAGCTATGACTAAACACCCTGCATGCCTGGTTGGGTCCTAAGACAATAACAAGCATCCTAATTTAAAAAAGGGGAGAAGGGGATATCCGGAAGAGAAAGGGAAAGGAGACAGAGGCAGAAGTTAAAAGAGGGCTGTTCCAAGCCAGGAAATGCCACCAGCCTCTGGAAGCTCAACAGAAATGTAATAGTTCCCTGGAGCCTATGGAGAAAAGCGGCCCTGAGGACACTGTGTGGACTCCAGACCTCCAACATGAGGAGAGAATAAATTCTTCTTGTTTTAAGGCACCAAGCTCTAGGGGATTTGTTGCAGTAGCTGCTTGAATGACTACAACTGTTAGTTCAAAAAGTAAGAGGGCGGGTAGGAGACATGAGGGACCAGAAGGCCACTGAAGCGTGAGAGTTTAGCACCGGAAGCCGCTGAGACCTGTCTAGATGGGGACTTGTGAGAGGCTATACAGGCGCACCGTGACAGGCCAAGGAGACTGGGCTCCTCATGGTTGTCCCTTTGTGTCTTAGGGAATGGAATCCACCACTCCCTGCTGACATCCAAATCTACAGATGCTCAAGACTTGAGTATGAAATGGCATCGTGTTTGCACTGAACCTAAGAAAGATCTAGTAAGTGACTAGACTTTCACAGAAAGGGGACAGTGCAGTCAGAACTGGTGGGGAACGGTGGGTGATGGGGGGGGGGGTATAAGATAGATGAGGAGGCCCCTCCAGGACCTCAGAGAGCTCTTCTCAGCAGGCCCTTGTCACCTTTCCTGCTTCACACAGGCCCAGGTGTTAGGCTCCTGCTCTCACTCTTCCAGGTCTAACGTCTTACTTACATCATCAGGGGGCATGGGTGACTGCATACCACCACTTGGTCACACAATCACGGCCTTAAAAAGTCAGATGCGGACCCCCACCCTTCTCTTTTCTGTTTCCTCTCTGCTGTCTGCTCGGCCCCGCTACCCTCCTCCGCCAGGCCTGGCTTCTCCGTCCTATCCCCTTTTCTTTCTAATAAAGCCCGTTCTAACTCTGGTAGCCGTGGCCCGTGACTCTTCCGCCGACCAACCAGGGCCGTTCAATCTTTCGCCAGGGCTTCCCATTTCTCTTGGGCCTCAACCTGAGTGATTTTACCCTCATCCCCTCCCTCGGGGCAAAACCTTGTTTGAGCTGTGTGCTAGAACCTAAGGCCTGGTGGGCCGAATGTCGTCAGATGGTCAACTGCAAAACTGCAGCAACCAGCATAGCCCGTGCCTTGTGACAGCCGCTCGGAATGCGAGTGCACATTGCTCCCAAGAAGGGCGCAGATATATTCAGCTAAACACAAGAGTACCAGCTCCTAAATGTCTGGCAGCCCACCCAGGTCCAGAATCCCCACATGGGCACAATGCAGACCCGAGTAAGCACAAGAGCTCCATTGCACTGTATGACGTCACTGTCCCTTGGCACTCATGCTCTGCCCCATGGTGTTACACACCGATTTCTCGTCTCTCTAGGGAGTTTCTTCCATTCTCAGGTGAAGCTCTGTCACTTCGAGTCTGTGTTCTCAGACAGGACCAATGTCAGAAGGACCCACATCCAGCCAGAGAGCAGGCATTAACACACCTCAGTACATGCAAATTCTTCTCTGGCCCTGCAGGAATGTTTGGTGACTGTCTCCTAGGAAGCTGATGCCCCAAAGCATGGCCTTAGTTGGGCAAGCTGTTTTACTTAGACCAATTAAGGCAAACCTTTCATCTGCTAGATGCTTTAAGAGGCACCAATGAAGACATCCACTACCAATGGGGAAAACTGGGTTACCCAAGCAAGATTCATTTTCCCACCTCAGAGCACTGGAGATGTCTCTGTTAGGTTGAAAAGAAACTCCAATTCCCCAAACTCCAAAAGGCAGTCCAAATATGCAGAAACAAGCTCAACCTGGATTATAGGAGGATTTCTGGCAGTTAGATTAAAGCCAGCATTCCTCAGGAACTTGTGAAGCTGGTTTCCATCTACCAAAAAGTTTAGTCCTTTCCCTTACCTCTGGCAGAAGGGACATATGACTACTTGTGGTACCTATCAGCATGCCAAAGCGCACGCTGGCATCCAGGCTCCCTCAGTATGGCCTGCACCTGTTGCACATTTCAAAGACTATCCTAGCATTCTAGCCTTTCTCACCTCTGCCCATACCCTAAACTTACTCTAGCTCATGTCTCTCATATTTACAATAAAAACTTTTCCCCTTAACCACACCACGGAGTGGGCTTGTCGTCAGTTTATACACGGTCTATAACTTCCATCCCAATATGCTGTTAAAATGATGCCAGAGATGTTTTCGGAAAGAACACCTTCCACATCCAGATGATGGGAGAGATCTCAATGCATGAAAGTCACACAGGGGGCATCAGATGAGAGCCTCTGCTAAAATGGAAGGCAAAGGTGCTTCTGAAGTTTAGAGCTGAGCCCCAGAGGCTCCCGGTGTGAGAAGGGGGCCACAAAGAGGCAGGCTGGTTGGTGGTCTGTCTAGAGGCAGCTGCTCTTGGTGGACCCACCTATGCCTTTCTTCCTCTTCCCCCCAACCACAAGTACACACGTTTCCCCCAAGTTCATGCATAAGAGCCTGTGCGTATGTGTGCACACACACAGGCAACCGTTCCTAAAGAGAGTGAGTTGACAACCTGGGAATACATGGGGCTCTAAGAATGGTACTCTAGGGAAAAAACAAAACAAAACGCATTAGTTCTAGTGTGTAGTGCTACAGCCCATGCCTTGGCTGCTTTGAGAAAGGGAAGCAAATGTATTTAAAAAAAAAAATCCCACCCCAGCACCTGTAGAGTTAGAGAATATCCCAGGAGGGGAGCGACAAGGCCACACCCTGAAAAGCCAAACAATTCTCCTGTCCTTAAGTACAGATTAACAGAGCGATAGATAAACAAACCAAGGGCAGGAAAGGGCAGAAGCTGGATAAACAAAAAGAAAAACTGACCCTGGAGAAAACAGACATAAATTAAAGACGAGGAGAAGGGGGTGGTTAGTATTAATATCCTTGGGAGAGGGCATGCTTCAGTCATTTAAAAATGAGTCTTTTAAAGCCTGAAAGAAAGAGAGCTTGTGGAAATTTGATGTGTGGATACATGGTTGCCACACTGAAAATTCAAAAGCACGGCTGGATTACAAAGCTGAGGAAAATTCCTAGAAAATAAAACAGAAGAAAACTGTCCAAATGAGGAAGCAAAGGGAGAACACTGGGGCCGGAGATGGCTCAGAGGTTAAGAGCACTGGCTGCTCTTCCAGAGGACTTGGGTTCGATTCCCAGCACCCACATGTTGACTCACAACCATCTGTAACTAATCCTGGGCATCCAACACCCCCTTCTGGCCTTTGCAAGTACTGGAATGAATGAGGTTCACAAACAGGCAAAACAACCGTACATGTGACATAAAAATAAACAAATCTAAAACAAGGGAGGGAGAACATTTTCTGAGTTGAGAAGAGATTTGACTTTCATCTGAAAGGACCAAGAGCAGAGCACTGTGGGACAGGGAGGAGCGTGGTAGAGCATGCCTGTGATCCCAGCACTGGGAGCCTGAGGCAGGAACCTCTCAAGCTTGCCTCAGAAATAAAATAAATAAATAAACAAACCCACTATCGAACAGAGTATGTTTTAAAAGTTCCAAATTCAGAAAATCTGTCCTGAAATGCATGGACTCAGTGGAGAAGGTTCCAGACAGGACCCTAGGAAGCACATTCCCGGGGACAAGATTCGGGCACCAAGCAACCTTAGCTTAAATCATGGCCCACGCAGGGCAGATGTGAATCTCTCCAGATCTCATTTTTCTCATCTGTAAAGCAAGACTTACAGAAATAGAGTTGTTGAGAGCAGTGAAGGAAGTCATTTATGATGCCTGGGGGACAGGGAATGCTGTGTGCTCTCCTCTTGTATTACTATTAAAAGAGAAAGGCACCAAGCAGCCAAGAGCCTGTCCCCAATCATTAGCCAGAGGCTGTGCTTGACTCTCCTCATCCCACTGTGAAGCAGCTGTGTGGTATGAGATGGAATGGGACTCCACACCTTGGCCCAAATCAATCACTCCCACCAAACCACCAACTAGTTCTTGGACGCCTAAATCAATCCAGTAAGAGTGAAGTCTGGGCCTTGGTTGAGCAGTAAAGGGAAGAAATATTCCCCACTGTTTCCTCTTCCTGTAGATCTCAGAGACCATTTGTCACCCACTGCACAACTATCACAGAAGGGTACAAAACCAGGAGCCAGGATCCAACTGTGCCTGAAGCCCACACAATGCCCCAGATGTCAATGATGCACACGGAAAGCTTCATTTTTTAACACTTTTTGAGTTTTCTGATCCATCCATCTAAAAGTATCCCTTCTCATACACCATAGGCCAAGTCCCACCATGCACCAGCTGTTACCTGGATGATGTAGGACAGTGACAAGCCTTTGGATGAAGCACTGATTGAGGAAAAACTCAGGGTCACCAACAAGGCCACAACAAAGGTGACGATGTTCATGAGGACATCCATTCTGAGCGCAAACCACCTGAGAGCGCAGTTGAAGTACAAGAGGTGGCTGGAGTTCTCATCGTTCAGTGTCTTAAACCTGAAGTGGAAAAATCAGAGGAAATAGGAGCTCAGGTCCCGCTCGCACTGATGGGAGATTCGGGCTCCTAATGGAGCCAAGACAGGACGTTTTGAACGCCTTCTTACAAGGTGACTGTTCCAAACATGAACATATATCCATGTTCCTGCTGCCACCACAGGCATCTTTGATTTGCACACATTTCTGAGAAGTTTCGTGTGGCAGTCAACAAGGGTGCCAAGTGGGCCCGCTCTGTCTCTCCCAGAGCTAGCAACTAGAGCCCACAGCTAAGAACAAAACGGTTGAAAACCTCATACTCTAGCTTTACAGTATCCGCAGGCCTTGAGAAATCTATAAATAGCTTCTTTGATCTTAAAGACAGGGGTAAGCCAATGGTAGTGATAGAGTAGGAAGGGAGGGTGTTTGCCTGCCCCCCCCCCCCACCGCCCCTCACCAAGATCAAGATCATCCTTTGAGTCTGGCATAGTGGCACATACCTGGGATCCCAGCACTTGGGAGGCCAAGGCAGAAAGGCCAGAAGTCCAAGGTCAGCCTGGGCTACATGGCAAGATCCCATCTCAAAACCAACCAATAAACCAAATCACTGCTTAAAAGGCTGGTGGAGTTGGGGAGGGGAGAGTTCTCTTCAAGGACAGGAAACTGATATCTTGTGCCCCTGTTGCATGTCCACTGGGTCCCAGGGCTTTGCACAGGGCAGAGTGACAGAAAGATGGCATAGCCAGGAGATCCAAGAAAGGCCCAACCTGGAGGCACTCATTCCCACCTGGTCCCCAGACACAAGCAGAGTGCATCCTGACAGTCCCTGCAGTTAAGGGCTGAAGGCACAGAGAGAAAGTGACCTTCCAGCTGCCTCTGTGACAGAAGGCAAAGAGGCTCCTGCAGCTGAGGAATGCAGTGGGGTGCTGCCAGGCAGAGTGCAAACAACCATCAGGTGCGTGAGGTTGAGTTGGGTTGGAGCCTTCACCCTGCCATACTGGGTCTGCACAGGGAACTGGGTCAACAGGAAGGAGCATCAGAAAGGACAGCCTGGGTGGGACGTGGGGACACTTGGGGACACCCCTTCCTGGCCCCTTCCCTAGCTCCCCTTGTGGGAACTTCAGAGAAAAGAAGCAGGTGTTTAAAAGAAAACACAGCCAGCTTCCCCACTGCAATCCTGTCTCTTAGCCCTAACACTCACTAGTACACACACACTCACACACGTGTGCACACAGAGCACGGTCTGCTTCACCACGCCTCCAGGAGGAAAAATTTCTATCATAGACTGAAGTTTTAGGCGAGCTGGGAGAGACATCGCATTCCTTGACACACTAAAGGGCTCTCGACCCAGTGGAAAGGGGCTTTTTTGAGCAATTGGTGGGAATTGTGGGAAGAAAAGGAAAGCCTTTTCAAGAGTAAATCCCTGGAAGACACAACTATTCCACACACCGTCACATCTCCCTTTTTTGTCTCCACTCTAGTTAGTTTTTGTTTCTTTGCTTCTTTCTGTTTTTGCTTTGTTTTGTTTTTACCAGAGCTTGGTCAAAATGCTTTCCCAAATACCACAGTCTTCCTACTTGTCTAGTGGCAAGTGCAATATACGTCAGAAGTCGGAGCTCTCCCAAAGGCAAGTGTTCCCTGTCAGTCATGTGAGGCCAAGCTCGCCATGCCAGGCACTTGGAGAAGAAGCTGTGGGAAACAGTGTCAACTCTTTTGTTTGCTCAGGGCAAAGAGCTAAACGGTTCTATGGTTCTTCATGATCCGGTCATCAGAGGGACCTGTGTGCCGCAGGACTCTAGACAAACAGCATCAAGAAACAAACCAGTAGCCGGGCAGTGGTGGCACACGCCTTTAATCCCAGCACTCGGGAGGCAGAGGCAGACTGATCTCTGAGTTCCAGGCCAGCCTGGGCTACAGAGCAAGTTCCAGGACAGTCAGGACTACACAGAGAAACCCTGTCTCAAAAAACAAAACAAACAAACAAACCCAGCAAACTAACTAATAACAAGGACTAACTGCTCACTAGACCAAAGACGAGCTATGGAGTCACAGCCACATTGAGAGCCTCAGTGGGAAACTGAGGCAACAGCGGGAGAAGAGGTTAGACTGGATGAAAATGAAAGTGTACATCATCCTCCTTCACCCCCTCCACCTCCTCCTCCTCTCCTCTTCCTCCTCTGCCTCCTACTCTTCCTCTCCCTCTTCCTCTTTTCTTTGGAGAGCGGGTATTGCCATGTAGCTCAGGCTAGTCTCAAACTTACCATCCTCCTGCTTCAACCTCCTAAGTACTGTGATTACAGGACTGAGCCACCTTGCCCAGCATACATTAGCTTTTTAAGAATAGTGAAAAGGGTCTTATTAGTAGAGACAACTACATTTGTCAAACTCCTCTGTCACTTCCCCTTCTGGACATGGATGAACTATAGTCCCCAGGATGCTGTAGTTAGGTAAGTCTGTGTGACTGAGATCCTGCCATTGTACTTGCACTAAGATTGCGTCTACTTGTTGAGGTTCGGCAATAAAAAGTTTCCACAGGGCCTACCCCTTCCCTGTCTCCCTTTCTGTTCCCAAAACCTTGGAGAAGGAAAAGCAAAGTAACTGTAACTCTGATTGTAAAGAAACTCTGCCACCCGTGCTGTGGGCTGTCATTAAATTGTGACCTGAGGAAGAATACACATTGTGTTAAGATCAAACTCTTCCACATTCTAGCCATAAAATAGTTTAAAAAAAAACTAGGAACCACACACTCAGGCCCCTGTCCTGGTTGGGTTTTTTGTTTGTTTTTTGTTTCTGCTTTTGTTTTTGGTTTTTTGGGGGTGTTTTGTTTTGTTTTGTCAACTTTGACACAAGCTAGAGTCATCTGGGAAGAGGAACCTCAATTGGGAAAATGCCTCCATCAGATTGCTGATATGGACTGCATTGGACAGTCACTATTAACCATCATAGCTCGTATTTATAGTCACCATGGCACTTTATTAGTATGTGGCTCCTGCTTTGTCTTTTCTCACTATCTCCTGAAGCCTTCTTTATCAGGCATGAAGATGACGATGCCAACTTCTCTCCTGCTTCTGTCCCCTTAATAAATTGGTTTCCATCCCTTGACCTTCAGCCTCTGGGTGTCCTTGCCCGGGAGCTGTGTTTCTTGGTGACAACAGATAGCTAAATCTAATTTTTCCTATGGGGAGTGGGTTGATTTTGTTTCTTCTTGTTGTTTTGAGATGGGCAACCTTGAACTTCTGATTCTCCTTCCTCTACCTCCCAAATACTAGGATAACAGCCTGTGCCACTGTGCCCATTTGAATCTAATTTTTTTTAACCTAGTCAGTTAGCCTGAATTTTTTTTTTTTTTTTTTAGGTTTTTTGAGACAGGGTTTCTCTGTGTAGCTTTGCGCCTTTCCTGGATCTCACTCTGTAGACCAGGCTGGCCTCGAACTTATAGAGATCCGCCTGCCTCTGCCTCCCGAGTGCTGGGATTAAAGGCGTGTGCCACCACCGCCCGGCTAGCCTGAATATTTTAATTGATGAGTTGAGGCCATTTACATGGAAGATTATATTATTAGGAGATGTTTACCAATTCCTGTAAATTTTTTTTCGGCTGTTTTCTGGTTGATTGGATTATTTCTTATTGCATTCTTTTTCCTCTACAAACTAGTATTGGGATTTGTTCATCTATGCACTCAAGATTTGGGGGGAGGGGAGTTGAGACAGGGTTTCTTTGCGTAACATCTCTGGCTGGCCTGGAGCTCACTCTGTGGACCAGGCTGGCCTCAGAGATCTGCCTGCCTCTGCCTCCCAAGTGCTGGGATCAAAGGTGTGTGAATAATTTTCAAGTATTCTTATTATAGTCTGTTACTTAACAGGTTGTAAGCACTAGGCATATCTTTATACCTATGAACCAGTAACGGGCTATTTCTTGACCTACACTCCTGAGTGCTAGGATTAGAGGCCTGAGCCACCGCCTCCCTGATTCTTTTTTTCTTGTGCTCTTTTGGCTATGCCAGACTTTCCTCTTCCTTGGCAGACAGTATTCTTTTGAGCATCTTGCGCAGTGTTGGCTTGTCTGTCATCTGTCATGAACTGCCTTGGTTTGTGCTTGTCCCGACATCCTGACTTCAGCATCAATTTTAAAAGACAACTTTCCTGGACATAGCAATGTTGGTTGGAGGCTGTTTGCCTTTGGGGCTTGAACTACATCATCCCATGCTTTCCCAGCGAGGATTGCTGACAAGAGATCTGGTGTTTATGTTTAGGCTTTTGTCGGTGAGCTGGCATTTTCCTCTTAGAAGTTATAATGCTATTCCTTTGCTTTGTATTCCTGACATCCTACAAAGTCATGCAGAAGTTCTTCTGTGGTCATATTGATTTGGAGCTTTGAACCTATTTTGACTTTAGATATCTATTTCTTTCTAGATGTTGGGGGTGGGTTTTCCACTATGATTTCACTGAATGGATTATTCCCTTAGTTCTATGTCAGCGCCTGCCTCTTAGTCTTTTGATAGCATCCCAGAGTTTTTGGCTGCTCTGGTCATGTTCATTCACTTTTGCTTTCCTTATGGATCTTAAGTATAGGATTTCCCCACCCTTGCCCTCCATCTCTGGTGCCCTTTTCCTGCCTCGTCACATCTCTTGGCAATCCTTTCCATGGTTTTTTTATTTGAGTCACTGATGGTTTGGTTTCTGACTTTGTTTGCTTGATGAATTTCTCTTCACCCATATTGCTGATTTTCTCAGCCAGTTTCTTGGGTTTTTTCCTTTAACTGTCCTCTCCGAGTCCCACGTTGACCTCATCTGCCTGTTTGTGTCCCCTCTCAGGGAGCTCATTCTCTTTACTAGGACACTTCTGAACGTCTCACCCTGGCCTTTCACATATTTCCTTATCTCCTGACTCATCAGCAGAAGAATGATGACCTGTGGAGTCACAGTGCCAGGTTTTATCTTATCTCTTCTCTTTCTGTGGCAACATTTGCTTATCTATTGATTTGGATATCCCTTCCAATTTTATTTGTAGATTTTCATTTGGAACAACTGCTTTTTTTTTAAGGTTAGCAAAGAAATAGTTTTTACCATGGCATCTGTGAAGATGATACACGTCATTATAATTCATTTCTTTCCCTTGTTGGCCTTCCCTGTGCCCTCCCTCCCTAATTCAGCAGCCAAATTTTGAGGGCTGGGACCCCAGTGACACTTTTAGGGGAGTCTTTTGTTTTCTTTGCCACCACTGGGAAGGCCCCAGGAGCTGACAGTGGTAGTTTCTATCTCGTGGGCCACCCACCCTTTTCTTTGTGCTTTTTGGGTACCCTGTCACTACTGTCATGGATTTCTGGAGTTCTTCCTCTCCTTTTCCTGCTGTAAAAAAGAATACTCATTTTGTTCTGATCCTTCTTCTTTATGGGGTCACACAGCAGTGGCTTCTAGTCCACTATCTCACTCACAAGTTGGGTCTTACATATTTTCTATAGTATGTTAGAAGCTACATGACTCAACTAATCTAGTCTTCAAGTTTTGAAAAGAAGGAAACTGGCCTATCCACAAATAAATAAATAAGCAAACACAGGCTTTAAAAAATAGTTTCATGAACTTTGGCACAGTGGCTTACACCAGTAACTCCAACCTCTTTGGGGGTGGATGCATGATAGCAAAATACAGACTGGCCTAGGCTACATATCAAGACCATGTCTAGGAGGAGCTTGCTATACCCACAGATCAGTGCCTCTCTCAACTCTCATTAGGGAAGCTTCTCATGGCAGTGGGTGGCGATTAGCACAGAGACCCTTGACTGGTCAACTTCCGAGTGCTCAGCCCCGCATGGGACATACTCACCACACACTTCCTCCCAAGATTCAGGGACCTTCGTGGAAGAGGGTGTGGAAAGACTGTGAGAGCCAGAGCTGGGGGACGGCATCAAAGAAAGTGTCTTCCAGACATAACACGTGTGAACTCACAGTGGTTGTGACGGCACGCACAAGATCTGCACAAGCCCGTGCCAGACAGAACCCCAGCACAGAGGAGAGGGAAGGGTGGGGAAATCCCATCACTAGCTGAGAAGCTATTTGGTAGATACTGGGAGAGAGAGCCAGTTTTGGTAAATGAGGTGACCTCTGGCATGGTGACTACGCTCAGAGACAGGCCTCAATCCCAAAACTGACTGAATAACATGACCTGAACTTGATGGGATTAAAAAAAATAAAAAAAAGAAAGGACACTCAAAGCTGGGTGGGTAGGGAGGGGAGCACGGATATGGGAGGAGTTGGGGATGGGGAGGTTGAATATGATAAAAATATATTGTATGAAATTCTCAAAGAATTAATAAAATATTATTTTAAAAATGTGTGTTTATTATTAAAGATCACTCAATACTATGAAAATCATATTCAAAATAACTTTTAAAAAGAAAACCTTGTGGGTTGAAAAAGAAAAAGAATAGGAGGAAATATAAAAGTTGCATATCTCTTTGTCTGAAATGCTTATGACCAGAAATGTTTCCAATTTGGGATTTTTGAATCAAATTAATTAATTAATTTACTTAGTTATTTTGTATGTATAGGTGTTTTGCCTGATTGTATGTCTGGCACGATGTGCATAAGTGGTGTCTGTGGAGGCCAGAAGACGGCATCATGTCCTCTAGAACCATGGTTCCTGACGATTGTGAGCTACTGTGTGCTAGGAATTGGAATCAAAACTGGGGCCTCCGGAAGAGCAGCCAGTGCTCTTCAGCCGTCCCTCCGGCCTCAAATGGGATTTTCTTTTTTTAACTCCTGGAATACTTGCGTATGCATAATGAGAACGCTTGGAAACAGATAACGAGTTTATCTACAGAAGTGGCAGGTCATTCACTTGTTTGCTCTATTTTATCCTGCAGTGCTGGGGCCTCCAAGAGGGCTTGCACAGACTAGGCAGCACTGACCACTGAGCTGCACCCTAGGTCTTTTTCTTAACGTTTTGAGACGCTAAGTCTCACTATGGTCTTGCTAAGATGTACAGGCTGGTTCTGAACTCACTTTGTAGCCAAAGGCTGGATACTCCTGCCTCAGCCTCCTTAGTAGCTGGTACCACAGATCTGTGTCACCAGGACAGGTATCTGCAGGTAACTTTCACACATATTTTTACTGTGCCTGTGTCTTGGCTACAGCCTGTCACATGAGGTCAAGTGTGAAATTTTCCCTTTTGGCATGGCAATGGTATTTAAAAGGTTTGGGACTTCAGAGCTTTTCAGATTTGGAATTTTCTTTTTTTTTAATTATTTTTATTTTATGTACATTGGTATTTTGCCATGGGTGTCAGATCCTCTGGAACTGGAATTACAGGTGGTTGTGAGCCACCATGTGGGTGCTGGGAACTGAATCAGGTTCCTTTCGACAAGCAGTTAGTGCTCTTAACCACTGAGACATCTCTTCAGTCCCCTAAAAATAAATTCTTTTTTTTTTAAATGTGCATTGGTGTTTTATCTGCATGTCTGTTTGAGGGACTCAGATCCACTGGAACTTGAGTTATAAACAGTTGTGAGCTGCCATGTGCTAAGAATTGAATCCGGATCCTCTAGAAGAGCAGCCAATACTCATAACCACTGAGCCATCTCTCCAGCCTGATTTGGGATTTTCAATTTATGATTACACATATAATGTGTACATGAAAATATGAACAAGACTGGGATTTGAGACCTAGGAGTGATTTTTGTATACTTTGTTTTTCTCTATTTGTATATACTTGAGCAAAAAATAAAATATACAAAGTGGTATATATGTAGAACTTGAGGTATAGCTCAATAGTGAAGCATTGTACAAGGCCCTGGGTTCATCCTCAGCATGGCACATGCATGTCTTCTCTCTCCTTCCCTTTACCCCCCCCCGGTCCCCCCCCCCAGAATCATATATCTTTTGGGGCCCCAAATACTGGAAATAGAACTCTTGATTCTGCTAGCCCTTTACCTGTCCCCAACATTTCCCCTCTCGGTGCCAAAGAAGCCTGGGATCTCCCATTTGGGCTGGGGCAAGAGATGGGGGACCCTGGAGCAGGGGCCATCAACTCACTTGCTGATGCAATCATTCTTTTTGTTGTAGGCATGGATGACACCCAGACCCTGTATGGAGGAGGTGATGTGAGAGAACCAAGGTGACCGACTGATGTTCTCCACCTGCTTGAGCTCCTGAACTCCTCGATGGAAGATGCTGTAGTGAAAGCAAGAGGGTCCAAGAGGGTCACCAAGTCTAGTCTCAGAGAACTCTCCCTCAGCACAGGCAACCCAACTGTGCCTTCCCTGTGATGGCTAAGTCAAAGTCAGTGTCATAACTGGAAGAGAGGAGCCTGCCACTCCTCTCCAGGATGCCCCGTCTGGTTGTATGAGGCATGGGCTATACCATTACTTCATTTGCCTTCAGATCCGAGTGCTTCCTGTAGCAAGAATGACACGCGGTACAGTATGCAGCTCTCGTCTTTGAAGACCCAAAGATTTCACACAGTGCAACCCCTGAACACAAGTCAACCTGTTTGTGATGACCAATCAGGGAAAGAGGGATCTGAGCTGGTTGCCAATGAGTGGCCTTCCAAAGATAATTTTGTACAGACATCGAGATAGTCTTCCTTGGGAACTGAGTTCAGAGTACTGTCTTGTACCTTACAATGGAAGCCCCAAGAGCCCTGATGATGGGAGAACTATGTCCCTGAGCACCCAAGTTTGCCGGCTATAAGGGACTCAAGCCTACCTCCGGACTCGAAGCTAAAATTAACTCGCAGAGTAAGGGAAGCTCAGAGCTTGGTGAATTCATTGTAAACTTATGGGTAATTAGGTCAGACTCCCCTCTGGTCTCTCCTGTGCTTATAGCAAAGAAGAGGGTATGCGGGGCAGATTTCTTGTAAGCTTTTATTTAGTCAATCAGCAGCAATAGAATGGACAGCAACAAATGGCCAACAAAAGTGTAACAGAAATGAACAGAAGCTCAAGGGATCCACTACAAGTTCCGACACTCATGACATGCTTTACCTTTGCGATGGACTTTCAGAAAACGTTGTTTACTCATCATCGCAATAAACTCTTGAATTGGGAAATGTGTACTTTTCTCAGTGACACCAAGGGTACTGCAGTGAGAGCCCAGCTCTACTGGATCCCAGGACACTAGTCTTCATTTTCATGGTCACATCTGCTCCCATCGGGCACCCATGCCAGTCTCCTGCCACAGTACGTCCCTCATTCATCTGCCATTATCACTGCCTCCGACTTGATGCACGAGTCCGAACCCAAAAGCAAATTGCGTTTGTGATAGCATCTTCTTCTTCTCCCAGAGCACCTTCCTCAGCACATCAGTCCCCCACCTCAGACGATCCTTGGTTGTACCAATCTCTCTGACACCCCAAAGCCTCCCACTTGTAAAGCCCTGATGACACTGCCTTGTAAATACCCCTCAAACCCACCCTTCTCTTGTCCTCGCTACTGCCACTCATATCTGGTCCTCATCAGTCCTTACCCAAGCTCTAAATCTCTCGAGTTTGGTTACCATTTTATTCCACATTTAATGGGATCACCTCATCTCACGTGCTCTTCTGACACGGACAAGGGATGCATTTTCATGACTAAGAACTTTGCATGAGAAGAAACAGATTTGCAGCATTTCAAGGCTCTCCAACTAGCTTCATGGCAAAGCTGGAGTTCTGGTGCAGACCTTTCTGACTCACAGCTTTATTCCCTCTCCATACTCCCGTAGTGACTGATGAGAGATCCCACCGCCCCCACGGCAGAACACTGTAACTGTGTCCCCCGGAAGCTGGAAGCTGGCTGCTTCCAGTTCCCCTCCAGACAAGTGTGTACAAGCTCCGGAGCTGCCCCCAGTCCTTTTCACACCTCTCTGTACACGTCACTCTTTAGCTGCAGTGGAAGCTGTTACTCAAAATTCAAAGTGACTGCAGAGGGTGCCTGCGGAGCTCAGTGGTTTTAAGAATGAATCAGCAGAAAGATTGCAACCATGCTTACTAGTTTCCTGATCTGGGGCAAGGACTTAACCTCCTAATAACTCACCCACCTCCCAGCACTGCTCTGGGCCTAAAAGCCACATGTATGCAAGGAACTCACCATAGCATCTGGTGTTTAACAAGTGCCCAAAATCTAGGATTCTCCCATCAGAAAAGTAAGTAGGTGCTCAGCATCCCCTGTCTCCCAGCTGGTGCACATAGCCATTCATATTCTCTCCCTGCCCCCACTCCATGCATGTGTCAGGGTGGGGTAGAGTATTCCCCCTTTGAGGTTGTGTATAGTCCTACCGTAAAAGAATGAGGAAGATGATAGCCAGGCCAGCCAGAACCAGAAGGACAACGGGAAACACAGCAGCCATAATCACCAGGATAAACAACACCATGAAGAGCTGCTGTAGAAAGTTCTCTGCATGAAATGGCAGCCTCACATCCAGCTCGTCCATATCTTTAGAAAAACGGTTCATCAGCCGGCCTGTGGGGGTTGTGTCAAAAAAGCTCATTGGACTCCTGACGATCTGAGGATAAAAGCAGAGTGACCTGAGTTGGGGAATGCTCCTGGACTTCCGGCAGGGTAGGAAGGTGAGAGCAGGGGCCAGACCTATTTTTCTGAAGCACGGGCTGGGGGATCGATCAGCCAATCTTTGGGAAGTGAGGGTGGTGCCCCCATTCTTAGACCACACCAGGAGTGAATGTGGGAGAGAGTCTGCCTATGTTTGGGGTTTCCTCTCCAGTCTCAGGTGCCTCCTGGGACAGGGATCCAGATACTCTCTGAGGAGGAGAGGATTTTGAGCCCCAGAGGAATAAAATGTCAAGTCTACTTGTCTGTCTACTCCACAAACATACCTGTGTGTTCTGGTAAGAACCCTCACAACCAACTGCTGCTGCCTGCTACAGCAATGGAAAGTGGGAGCCCGTCTCCAGGCCCTCACTAGCTGGAACTCTTAGAAGCATGATGTACATCTTCCCCCACCGTCCTTCTGGCCCAAGGCTCCGTGATGTACCCCTATTGCTCTCTGAAATTAGACTTCCTATATGGTACTCAAGCAAGTAGAAGACACACTGCAAACTAGACAACAGACTTCAAGAGGGCTGTTCTGTCCCCAGAGTTCAGCACAATCTTTACCACACTGAAGGACCTGCTTCACCCTGTGGACAGAGCAACGAGGTGGGCCTGCAGCCCACGGGGGCGCTACCTTGTTAAACACCCTGTTGTGGAGCGAGGAGGATGCCTCCAGTGTAGTTTTGGTGAAGGTAATGCCTTTGATAATGCCAAATGTCAGCACAGACACCATGCTTGCTATGTATACCAACTGGTACATGTGGTGTTCGGTGTCTTGCAGGGTCTGGTCACCATTGCAGGCTGTCCTATTGCTCTGGGGTGCACAGATGACCTGCAGCACAACAGAAAAGAAGTATCGAGAATTTTATGCTATTGGAAGAAGGGGGCTATTTCAGATAATCTTTCTAAAGAGAAGAAACTAAAAATGAGCCAGATGGGATGGGAGAGACGGCTCAGTGAGTAAAGTATTGCCACACAAGTATGAGGACCTGAGTTCAGATCCCTAACTGGCATGTAAAAGCAAGGCATGGTGGCACAGGCCTGTACCAGGATTTGGGGGAATACAAGCAAATCACTGTACTGGGGCTCACTGGCTAGCCACCCTTGACAAAACAGGGAGCTCTAGATTCAGTGAGAAACCCAACCTCAAAAACTAAGGTAGAAAGTGATAAGGGAAGGTACTCAAGGTCAACCTTCAGCCTCCACACACTCACACATGGACAAGCGCCTATGCATATATATGAAACAAACAAATTTTAGAAGAATAAAATTTAAATTCGAATCAAGAATGAGTCATGTGGGTAAAATCACGTCAGGTCCCTCAGGGGTTATCTGAGTTTTTCCTGCCTCTCCCACAAAGGGGTACCTCATGGTCGGAAAAAGGTAGCAGATAAGCAGGTGTAGGGCAGCTGTCACAGAAGTCACCTGCACCCCAGGAAACCTTCAGTGATGCCAGGCCAAGAAGATCCAGAAACAAGGCCTCTGGATTCTAAGAAGCTGGCCCGGCTTGCCTTGGGCAACCCAGACAGGACAGAGAGTTGGGGCCACCCTCCCACCTGCCCAGCTGCCTGGCAGCAGCCACCGACTAATGAGATTCAGGGGTCTCTATGTAGGGTGGTCCAGTTCCTCAATCCTCTCCCCTGGCCTGTATCCAAGGGTCAACAGTGAGGGTGCTGCTGCTCTGCTCTGGAGTCCTTGGCAAGAAACATGGGGCTCTCAGACAAACTATGGATCCACCCCTCTCAGCGAGAGGACACAATTTCACCAGCATTTCTGGAGAGGCCATCATCTGTTGTTGAGAAACTGACAGTTTCATTTTTCTCTGGGCTGTGTGTTAAAAGTCAAGGATGCCTTTTGGGAGCAAACAAACATGTCTCTTCTAAATGCCATTCTGCTGATTACAGTAATGGGGGAAATGTAAACCAGAGGTGGCTGATGGATGAGCATCTGCTGAGGCAAAAGCATCCCTGGGGGGTTGGTTGATGAAAGGCTCAGCTTGTACAGGAGGTTCTGCTGTGCTGTAGGTTGTACCCACAGCATCGGGGATCAGGACTAATCACAGGGGCATGCCACTGTTGCTGCGTGTTCAGTGGCCTACTGAAGAAGCCCTGAGGCTAGGGCATGGCTCCACATGCCCTATGCTTGTGGGAACAGCCTCAGGAAGCTGTGTCAATCAGCCTCTCCCCTCCCCCACACCCAAGCATCCTTACTTTGATGTCATAGCAACAAGGTGGTACCATAAGGTGTAATCTTAGAAGAGGAGCAGGCACCCCCAGTGTTCCCTGGAGCTCCAAGAGAAGCTTTGAAACCAATGGCCAACAACTGGGGAAGACTCTAGCCAGCTGGAGGGAGAGTTATGTATTGGTCCTGTCCAGGCAGGGCCCTGGCCAAGATGGAAACCTTGGGGAAAATGGAAAGTCCTGGTGGCCTTGGCACACTTACAAAGGCTGCATCCATTTTAGGTCCTCTTCTTGCTAAGGCACCTTTGGAGAGCAGGGCTCTGTAGAACCTTCTGACACTAAGCGGTGGTGTCTATGACAGGACGCACTTCCTCTTCAGGGTCAAGGATATGTCAATCTTTGTTCATCTTCCCAGGCCCCTCCCTGTCCCTCCTCAGAGGAAACCACACTGATACTACCCTTCCTGGACAAGTGTGACTCCACACATCGGAACCATCAGTTTCCAGGAAAACCCTGTAAACCTGAAGTTGTACATAGAAACTTCCAGGTGCCTTGCTTCTTTTGAAAACAGAAAAAGATCTCAAGAATTTGAACTATATAGCCCAGGAACTGGCCTCGGTGTCACCCAAAGGGAGCACACCGGGTGTCACTATTTAGCAGCCGTTTGGTTCAAGTTGCAGACTCAGCACTGTCAAAGGAAACTCACCTGGGAGCCCCTGTCTAGCCAGAGTCCCAGCCACCAGGTGCTGAAGGCAGAGCTGCCCATCATCAGGAAGAAGAGACAGAGCACCAGGAAGGAGACCAGGTACCCTGCCAGAGGAGCAAGCGGGTGCAGACATGAGGCCAGTGGCAGATTCGCCTGCCCTGAGCCTCACCCTTGGAATTTGGGAAAGCCAAAGCCTACAGAGAAAAAAAAATCCCTATCTGGAGGGTCCATGTGCTAGGCTGATTTAAGATGTCATGATGTTGGGCCACTACATGCCAATAAGGATATCTGTTCCATTTGGTTAGGAAATAGAACCAAACTGTCAACATGTTAGAAAAACCTTGTCTGCTTAAGATGGGCTCTTGTTATACAGCCCAAGATAAACTCAAACAATTTCACTGAGGCCACCTTGAAAATTGTGATCCTCCTGCCTCAGCTTCCCCTAGGGCTGGGATTACCGGTATGTATGACCATGCCCATTCAATGTTCCATTTAATAGAAGCAAGTCAGTCTTCATTAAGAGCAAGTCAAGAGTCCAGTTCGGTGGGACAAGTCTATTGTTCCAGGCCAAGGAATGCTTGTTTGGGTAGATCATAAGTTTAGGCAAGCCTGGGCTACACATGGACTCTGTCTCTAAACAAATATCCAAATCCCTCATCTTTTTGGAAGAGACTTGCTCATGCAGATAGTCAGTCTCTTGCGTGATGAGCTGATTGCAGCTGTGCTCAGCAATCAGTGTGTGTGTGTGTGTGTGTGTGTGTGTGTGTGTGTGTGTGTGTGTGTGTGTGTGTAAGAACCATCGACGGCTTCTGGCTGCTGCCCACTCAGCTCCAATAAAACAGAACCTGGCAGCTTTAATGGAGATAAAAAATGACTCCATTTAAAGGGCTGTATTATCAGACTGCAGGTTTTAGGGGGGAAATAAAAGCATTGATAAGCAAGCGCTAGAATAAGCATAAAAAGAGTAATTGGTGAAGGAATCATAAAAACATGAACCCAACAGTTTAAAAACAGATTTTTAAAATGCAAATTAAATCAAGAAACCTGATGTTTTATGCCAAACCTCCAGAAGCCTTAATATACGTGTGATATGTTTTCCAGGTCACGATTCCTTCTCGAGGAGACTCAGTCTGGACAAGCTGGTGCACAGGAGCTGTGGTGACAAACACAAGGCCATGAGCCTCATGGCCAGAGTGGGCACACAGTGAGGCCAGCATGCCCCCCTGCACCCTCCCCTCCACTGCTGAGGGCACTTGCCCCATCGTCTACATGCTGTCACATTTCTAATGCACCTTTGCTCATTTGATAATGTTTGATCCTCTTTACAGCCCCGTGAGGCACATGACTTGGAGTCTTTCAAGGACTCTACGGTGTTCACTACGTGCTTAGCCTGGGAGTCCAGGGTTGTGCCAGCTCCCAGACCTGAACCTCAAGCAGCCAATGAGTGTACAATTAGTCTGTATCCATCAGAGCGCCCAAGCTCAACTGGGCTGTGTGCACTGCTGTAACAGGACAGACGGATGGGGTGAGGGGACTTTATACATGGTCTCTTTTCTACTTCATAGGTGCCCGATGGACAAAGTCCCATCATACTCCACCACCCTGTCCCAAAACAGTCTGAGACAGAGTTTGTGCCCTAGGAACAAGGCATTGATACTAAGAGTCTAAGGAAAGGAGGTAGCCTCAACAGCTGGCCCTGGCCAGTCTCTTTTCTACTTCCTCTCCACCGGAATTTTCTCATAACCTCACCCTCAAAATTCCACCCTCCCCCATTTTCTCATCCCATTACCCCAGGAAGAAAACTTCTGCACATTCCCGAAGGACCAGCGCAAAGACTGCCTCCTCTGTGGAGCCTCCCATAGCCTCTCTGTTACTCCCATGTCAGCTCCCCATTACCTTTATCCCAGTTTGCCAAAGCTACTCATTTGCCTGTGACCTCTACCAGGCTATACAACAAGAACTGTGAACACAGCCTTCTTCTCTTCCAGCCCATTTCAGGACTTGGTACTCAATTCAATGTCCAGAACCTATTTGTTGAATGGATGTGTAACGTGATCCAGCCTTGATTCCCTCCACACTACCTTTGCTCAAGGCTCCCTGTGGAAAGTGGGGGCTCTTGAGCTTTCTCTGGCCTCTAGATCATTTCCATGTGCTGCTTTGACCTCTGGGGAAGGAAGAGGCAGAAGTAACACACGGAAATAGTCTAGGCCTGACTTCTGAAGGTCATTTACCTTCCAAGAACTTTGCTAATCGCTTCATGGACAGTTTCTCACTTAAACTTTGCAAGACTCTCCGAAGTTGATTCTACTCTTTCCCTGCTTTGTAGACTAAGAAACTAAGGTTTTGAGAGTGTCCAGTTTCATGACTTGAACAAGGATGGCACCAACAGACCTGCTGTCATGGAAGGGGAAAGCTCAACTCTACACAAAGAACAGCAACAAGGAGTCCCAGGCAAGAGCACACCAATTGGTAATCCAAAGGGCCAGCTCTGAAAACATGTACATACAGGTAACATTACATGGATTGAACAGATTGTATTTTATATTTACATTATAGTTTATATTGTATTTTATATTTATATAAAATAAATGCTGCCGTCATTTAGGGTAGGCTTTCCTTGTAGGCAACTGTCTCTGGGAGTGTCCTCAGAAAGAACCCAGGAATGGCCTTTACTAATCTTCAAGAGGCTTCACAATCTAATCAAGCCAATGGTGCTGATTACCCAGCACACAAGCTCACACTACAAGATACCACAGCTGGAGCTTCTCAGAGCAAAAGCCGTTGTGTTCCCCTTCTTCTCTCCCAACAGCGGATGCCCAGCATGCACTCTAGGGTATACAACTGTGGGAAAGGATGCTAAATACCTTTTGTATCTACAAATTCTTCCATTTCAGGTTCTTTTCCTTCATCTTTCTCATCACCTGAAGCCAAGACTAGGATGAGAAATTGCATAATAAATAAATGAAAAGGTCTGTATCCACTCAGGATCCAGGGGCAGTGAGGGAGGGGGACTGGCATCTGACTGTACCAGTGTCTTCGTCTCTCTGAGCTGGGCTCTCCTTCAGGGTCTCCACCATGGCTGCATTGTAAATGTGCTCCGGATCCTGGAGAGAAAATGAAATTACTTCTGAAAATGCAGTGACAGATTTCTCCCAGGCCGGAAGTCATGAGGCAAGGCTCTTAAATCCCACTCAGCAGGGTAGGCAGGCACACAGTTACCTTGAATTGCAATCCCCGGAGGTTGTGAATCAGCTTTGCATAGCGCCCCCTCTCTTCCATCAACTCCTTGTGGGTGCCCTTTTCACAAATCTCTCCATCTTCCAACAAAATGACCTCATCACAAGACTCCAGGAACTGCGGGGACAGCACAGGGACCCACAACGACACTGTCTCAGTAAGAGCCAAAGGACTGCATGCCAAACACCCAGGCAGCTCTCCCAGGTGCAGTGAGTTACTGGGGTTCTCAGTTCTGGTACGATGGCATTAGAGGGCCAATAGTTCCTTGTCTTTGGGGGGCTCTCCTGTGCACTGCAGGCATTTCACAGTCTCCCTGATCTCTACCCACCAGTAGAATGCCTTTCCCTAGCTGTGACAAGCAAAAATGTCTGCAAGGAATGCCAAATGCCCCAGGGGCCCCCAGTTGAGAACCACTGAGCTGGTCCCCTGTCTCTTGAGTACAAAAGCTGGATTCTGGCTGCCACAATGAAGCAACTGAACCTTCCTTTGCTTCTTGTCTCTGAATAAGTGACCCTACTAAGAAATCTGATTGACCATTATAGAGGCCATGGTTTGGTAAAGATAAGAAATATGATCTCAGTCTTGCCAGGAGCCCCACCTCACAGAACCCAGGGGCTAGAAACCAGGTCACAGGCCACACCCCCACCAGCTCTAACATTACAGTAACTATATGAACAATATTATGCACCCCATTTTACCCAAAGCACTTCTGCTTTTCTGATTTTGAGACCCTTCAAGTCCATGTCAGTCCTGTGGTTAAAAAATTCTGCTAAGAGGGACTCTCTTTTATTTTGGAAGAAGAAAGAGCTCTTCCTAATTGGATCCACCCATCAAAGGGCAGAAAGCCCCTTCCTAGAGGCAGGCAAGCTGCTGTAAGACTGGCAACAGTTCCACCTAAAGAAGCCAGGGCCAGAGTTCCCATTTTGAACTTCCACTCCATTCAAGGCCAAATCCCACCCAGCTGCACTTGAGTTGAATCCTGGAAGCAGGGGCTGCCATTGATGGCTGGACACCTGATGAGTTAGGTAGTACCCAAATGCTTCAACCAGAGCAGATCCAGCAGCTTGGATAGTTCTAGTCTCTATGTGTCCCCTATCCAAGACTTGTCCCCTTCCCCAGGCAGCCCAAGCAGGCCCCTGGTTCTTAGCGCCAGACACCTTCTGACAGAATCTTTCCCGAGAGACAAACTTGCACTTCATACATCATCCTCTAACGTTTCACAACCTGATCTCACATCTTATCAATATCTCGACCTCCTGCAGCCCCCAGCTCAAGAAAACAAGCAGCTTGGTTAAGTCACTGATTTTCCAGATAAGAAAAGGAAGCACTTAGGACCTGTGACAATCTACAGGTTTCTCTGCCTGTATGGGTTCATAGCCCAGACTTGGAAAAGCCCAGCAAAGGTCCCTCCTGCCAGCAAGCCCTCAGTTCACTCTAGTGATACCAGGTAGCTTTGTGTAGCCACGTTCAGCAAACGCTTAGGAAGCTGAGCCCTGAGTATTACCAGCGGCTGACGGCTGGCCTTGCTTTGTTTCCTCACGCAAACAAATGAGTGACTGTCCTGACCAGCTACTCCAAAGCATCTGAGGTCAAAGCAGCTAAGAAATGTTCTGGAAGGCCCCAGGGCTGCGGTTTGAGGCTTCCTCCCCTCCCCCACAAAGAATGGGATGAAGAGTGCAGAGATTGTGGTGCCACCTGGTGGCCTCTTTGTTCTCCAACAAGCAAAAAAGGGAACTAAAATGACCTTGGCAAGGTATGTTGCTGGAGAATCTGGCAAAATACTAGCTTGTCTAAGGCCATACCACTGACTAGTGAGTGTCAAAGATGGCTATTATTTACCCTCCATGAGGGCTCGTGGAGGGACAGCTCCCTCTCACACCTGTCAAGACAAAAACCTCATCCTCCAGGACCCAGGGCTCCTCAGGAAGACCGCCTTCCCAAGGCAGGCTGTTGCCAGAGACAATATTCCCAAGCCAGAACTATGGTAGTCACACTTACTGCTCTGGCTAGGCCAGAAATCATTTCTAGACTGAATTCAGGCAGCCTTCTCCTCTACCTTGGCCCTGGCCTGCAGAGGACCTTAGAGTTCTTGTCCAACTAGCCTGACTCGATGTTTACTAGAGTGGTAGCACACCTGCTGAAGAAACCAGACACCCACACCTGCAAAATTTGAATGCTTCGTGTATTTCTGCAGCTTGCAGGCACTTAAAGCTTATTCTGGGGAGGCTCCAGGGCAGCTGGGTTTCCTGGGTCCTTGAGAAGCCCCTCCCTCTTTGGGATGGTCCGCCTGGCCTCAGCCAGAAGGTCTCAACATACTGACTGCAGGGTCCTCTAGCTATGGCAACCTTACTTGCTTCTTAACCCTCACACCTTCAACAGCTCAACCTCCCCTTCACTGAAAAGCAATAAGACCTGCCTCCTGCTCCCAGACCAGGCCTGCTGGACAAGAGGACAGGGCTTCTGCACCTAGGCCCAGTGAGCCATCTCCCAATGCCTGCGGGATGCACCCTACATTGGGGCACTTGCACACGAGCATGCACACTCGCGTGCACATTTGCACACACAGCATATCACTGGGACTTGCCATAGAGAGAGGAGAGAGAGAGCATGAGAGAAGAACCCTGGCTTATGTGATGGGAGTCCTCGATTCCCATCAAGTATTCAGAACCTGTATGTGGGTCAGAGGCAACAAGGCCTATGACCATGCAGGCAAATTCTCCATTTTCCCCTGACATCTGTCCCCATCATTTGGCCCCTAGTCCTGGTTTCCAGAGCTTTTACTGGGGCCCTTGGGCCCCTCATCACAGGAACCCACACCTTTCTGGGTGAGGAAAGAAAGCTGAGCTTCTAAGATGCCCTGACAAAGAGCCTTTGATCTCAGACCCATTTAGGCCCCACTGGAGAAAGGGTGGGCCCTGCATTGTCTCCACCTGGCTCCCCATTTCCTTGGCACCAATGGTCCAGCTCTCAGAGCCAACTGATCCTGGAGAATCTATTCTGTGGTAGAGGAAAGGTCCTGTCCCCACTGACTCCAAAGACTGGGCCAACAGAGCTCACACACAGAGAAAAGCAGGCAGGGGTGGCTGGAAACCCAGGTGGCTGCAGGACTCACCAACATCTCCTCCATTTCCTGCCCTCTCCGTGCCCTGTCCAGGCAAGGCTAGTTTCAGGTGGGAAAGGCATGTTCAGGCAGATTAGGAGTCTCTGTGAACATCAAGCGCTGCACTCATCCCAAGACCTCATGAACCCTCCATGTCCCTGTCACCTGCAACTGGTGGGTAACCAGGACAACAGTCTTTCCCTTGAGTGCCTTCTTAATGCACTCCTCAAAGACATGCTTCCCCACATGGGCATCCACAGCTGAGAGTGGGTCGTCCAGCAGGTAGAGTTGACGGTTGGCATACACAGCACGGGCCAGGCTGATCCTCTGCCTCTGTCCCCCAGAGAGGTTGACACCCCGCTCTCCAATCTGTAGACAGGGATAATGGCACAGCCCATCATTAAGTCCACCTGCCACCCTATACTTCTTGTATACCAGGAGCTTCCAAAAGTTCCCAGGAACTCAGGGAGAAGACATACTGGCTGATTATCTCCGCACACAAGCGTCTCCAACCCCTCACACTAGACAGTGCTGATTGGAAGAACTCCCATCCCCCTCACTCACTGAATCACAGTGCCAACTGGGCACAGCTCTTTCTGACTCTGAGAATGAGGTGTCTACTGCATGACTCCTGCTTCCTGGTGCACAGTCCACTGTACATTGATTGATAGCACACAGGAGTTTTTTAAAGCAGGGAACTCTAGAAGAATGGATAGGGAAGGAGGGAACGAACGTGCCTGGGAGATGGACCAGGGACCTCTCTGTTCATTTCCTTGTATGCTACTGTGTGTGCTATGAAGGCAAGACACGTGCTGTCCTGCTCACTATCAAATCTCTAAGGCCCAGCCCCTGATCTGAGGCATGGGTTAGATGCTCAGTAGACATTTCTTGTGAGATGAAAAGCCTAGGCTATGTTTTTTCTGGTAATCCCATCCTCCTGCGCCCAGAGTGAATCCCACTGTACTCAGATGCCCAGCTACTGAGCTAGCTGCTGGGTGCTGGGTGCTGGGTGCTGGGTGCTGGGTGCTGGGTGCTGAGTAAGAAAAGTGGCCTGTGAATCAGGAGCTCACATTTCAGAAGGGGGCACTAGACACACAAGAACAGCAGTTGACATATTCCCCAAGTGCTAACCAAGAAGCATGCATTGCCACACTTGGTGGAGAACTGCTGTCACCTGTGGGGCTCCAGAGTCTTCCTCAGTGGAGCTGGGCTAGATCCTGAAAGGCTAGGAGGTGGCTGGACACCTTAGCTGGCTGCCAGGGGTGCAGAAATACAGCTTGGAAAGGGAAGCCAGAGCCACATGAGCATTCGGAAAGGCCAGTCACTCCTGACAGGCAGACTGAGAGACTAGAAGAGCAGGTTCTCTGAGCTGGCACTGTGGGAAAGCTTGTCCTAGAGGCATGATGTCCTGGGGGGAGAGAGGAGGGTGGCACAACGGCTCTTAGTCGCCTGAGTCAGCAGGCTCAAACCTAAGGCCAGGCCATCACTTTGGACTGGCAGCCTAGGGACAAGGTGTGAAGGTGACTCAGCACTCCTGGGCTGCACAGAGCCAGGGAGCAAGAAGGAGCCCTGAGACTCCCTTGTATGGGGAGCACTCTGGACCACTGATTTGAGGAAGAGCTGGACCTTGAGTTTAGGAAGCAGTTGTTCAGGAGCCCTTCCTGAGATGACGGAAAGGTTGGAAGTGGGCTGTGGAAGCAACCGTGATGAGTCACACGCAAGCAGGTTCGGGTCCACCTCCACTTGGTGGACCCCAAAGAATTCCTGATAGGTAGAAACTGAACTTTGCCAGTATGTCCTTGGGACTTTCTGCCTCTGGGACATATAGATATAGATCCAGGGTCAACTGGGCAAATGGGACTCAGTTCTGCTCACCTCAGTCAGGTCTCCATAAGGAAGGCTGTTCAAGTCCTTCTGGAGACCACAGACATGAACTGTGTGCTGATACCTGTGGGTAGAGAGATCAGAATGGTAAGACGAGCATCCAGCACTGCTGCCTGGGCTGCTCCTGAAGGAGCCACTGCTGTCGAGGGGACAAGGCAAGGATCTTGCTGCTGCTATACTCAAGGCTCTCAGGCAAGTTGCCTTATCCCAAGGGCAGTGTCTCCTCAACCCCTGGGGTCTCTCCTTGACTCAGGGTTGATCCCTCCATTTACAGGGTTCCTGCTGTGCAGGGAAAATGCCACCACTGTCTATGAAATCCTGGGGGTGCCAATGGCTATCATGGCTCCTTGAGTCAGAGAAGGGAAACAAATTGTGGACTGAAGCTGTTGATGAGTGGAAGAGGGGGTGTATGTGGTGGAGCAGCACAGAGCCTACTCCATTACAAATGTCGGCCCTGACATCCCTGATGAACTCCTCCTGCTCTATAAAGCTACTCTGTCCACCATCAGGCCTACCATGTTGGAGAAAATCAGGCACAGAAGATGTCACTTCACGGGAAAGAGGACAAGTGGAAATGGACCCCGGCTCTGGGGCTTCCAGGGCTTCTGGGGTTGTTGTGTTCCTCAGTAACATCCATTCTCGAGCCTTGGAGTTCAGACTTAGGCAAAGTTAGCTAGCTCTGCACAGCCCAGCTGCTGGGCAAATACCTCATCTTCCTGGGCACAGTCCCACTCAGGCCCCAGTAGAATGCCACCTCTTGGGGCTTCTGGCACCACACAATCTAGTGGGGTGTGAGGTCCTGTGGTAGGGGAGAAGCTGACAGTCCACTTTCTCTGAATCTCAACTCCAGGCATACTCACGGTGAACAGAACTGTCCCTGAGGCACCACAGAGACCCATAGCCTCAGAATCTGGCCACTTCTGTGAATGCCTGGCATTCCTAGTGACATTCTCATTTGTGAGCTGTCCAAGCAGCTGCTGGACCCCACACTGAGCAGGAAACTTATGTCCCACTGGCAAGCTGCAAGCGTCTTCTAAGGGTGGTGGGTAACTACATTATTAACTGATGACCACCTTTGCCATATATCCCCACTGCCACAAACAGAGCATGCCCTCCTTGTCTTGGTGGACCAAAATTTTCTGGAACCATGAGCCAAAATAGGTCTTTCCTCCATTCAGTTGCTTCTGTGAGCCCATCTGTCACACAATGCTAAAGTAACTCATACAAGCACCTGAGGAGCAATAGCTGTTCCTTATGGTGCTCTGCACATGGCAGGCATTTGGTTAATATTTGCTGTCTTCACCTCCTTATGGATAAATTAAGTAACTGTCCTTCCAGCCTGCTTCTGTGGAAAGAAAAGGCATTCCAGGGAGGGATGACGTAGACATCGGCAGAGGGGTGTGTGGCCATGAGACACTGAGTAGAACTGTTTTGCTCATGCCGTGGACTCCCACCACTGATAGGAACTTCCTGTCATATGTGAGCCTTCTGTTGAGGACATCACAACCAGGGGAAGAGGAGAAAGCTACAGGCTTCCTGCTGGGAACACATTTGCTGGCCAATGCCAGCCCGTAGGGTATGGAGTTTGTGAGCTCAGATAATAAGAGAAAGCCAGGCCATGACTGGATTCCTAAGCCCAACTCTTCCTACTTCGGTTCTGTGGTGTTTGAGGATGTTTTTGAGTGACCCTCCTGTCAGGCAGCTTCGATGGAAGCAAGCGATGCTGGAGCCTAGGGCACCGGTCCAACCTCAAGCTTCGTGGGCTCACCTCTCTGGACTTCAGCTTTCCCATCAGTGAAATGATATATAATACCTGTGTCTCCCTAAAGAAGTTGTGATGGGACTCATCTAAGGCAAGTAAACCTAAGAAGACATTACTCCCCAGAGCTTAAAGATAATGACCCAACACATATCAAAGATTTATAACCAGAAGTTTGATTTTATTTCATTAGACCATTTGAGGACACTAACAACAATATGCCTTGATAGTGCCCATGTGAATTAATCATGTCAGGACTGACTAATTGCATGCCTTCTGCTCATGATCCCAAGCAAAGTTTTAGTTACTTAGCCTAAATCAAAATTGCAAGACTCATTTTTCTCCAGTCAGACAACATATGTCCTGCTACGGAGAACCTCAGAGCATATGGTACTCTGCCCTGGGACTGAAGTGACAACTAGTCCTCTTCTTGGAGTGCCATGTGGTCGCAGGTCTGCAGAACAGCATGCTTCTCCTGAACTCCTGGGTCAGAAAAAGAAAACCCAGCTCCTGGGTGGATCCCATGAATGTTTCATCAGAACTCACTAAAGATACCCACTTTGTGACCATTCTTAGTGGCCTCAGCATCTGAAGCAGGGTGGGCCAACTACCATAGTGCCAGATACATCCCAAGTTAATAATACCTTTGGTGATTGTACTTCTCTCCAAACAGTATGTTCTCCCTCACATTTCCATGAAAGATCCACGCTTGCTGAGAAACATAAGCCAAAGGTCCATTGACAGCCACGACCCCTTTCTGCAACTGCATCTAGAGCAACAGTAACCAGAGAACCTTTAGAAGGCATACTCCCAAATGCCACCCTCTTATTGGTATGAGCATTAGTCACATGGATATAAAGGGGTTGACAAATAAGTCCAACCGTGCAGTCAAGTGTCTCTAGGTGAGACACTTGCAAGGCTAGGCAGGAAATTTAGGGAAGAGGAAATAATGAGTCCTTCTGCCAATTGGAGGATACAGGCTGCACTTACCTCAACCCTGGGCCAACTACAACAAGATGCCTTAACGATGAGTAACAAGAGCACCCCCCCCCCCTTTTGCCCGGTGTGCTGAGTGGATCCAACTCTCCCTAGCCAGGTTCCAGGGAGCAGAGTATAGACTCTACTCCTGGGGTGGAGGCTCTGGTATGCCCCACTTCAAAGAAGTAGCCCTGACACAGTTGCACAGTTATAACCGTGCAAGAATTCAGGCCTTATGGAGCCAGAACTCTTCTTCTTCCTCTTCTATTCTTTTTTTTTTCCAAAAGAGTGGAAAACCCAGTTTCATGTGGAACTTTGGGACCTTGATAACACTGAGCAATCCAATTAACAAACATGTAAGACCCAGTTTGTGACACTGAGTATGTATAGGCATTTAAGCTGACCCTACTAAGTGTGCTTCTGATAGAGAATGGTAGACAGTAGTGGTGATAAATAGCCAACCCTAGCCATAGAGGGGGTTTGTAGGGAAAGCATGACACTTGGGGATGGTGGTGGTGGTGGCGGCAGCGTGGCTGAGCAGGGAAAGTGTCACATGATGCAGTGCTATTTTGAAAACCTTGGGACTGGTTGAAGGGGCCTGGAGTTAGCCTTGAAAAAGAGATGATATTATTAGCAAGAGCAGTTCTAGAAATAGTAGGTGCCTTCCAGGCGCTGTGCTGAGCCAGCTGACACTGTGATTGGTCTTGAGGACTCAGCTCTGGCTGGCATGTACACTCCCTTTGCTAACCCTCGCCACAGCTCTCCTTGGCCATTTTGTAGATGACGCGGTCCAGAGAGGTCAGTGTCTTTGTCCAAAAGGAGATGGTGAACATACATGGAAGGCACCTCCGCCTCTCTGCTGGTCATGGGGAGCACCTGATTCCCTCACCGGTGCGCAGGAGATGGGCTCTGTTTTCTCTCGGAGATGCTCCCGAGGGATAAATCAGGGGGTAGATGTTAAAAGGAGGCAAGTTTCCTTCCAATAGCTATCAACACACTGCAAAAAGGAACTGGCTGTGAACGAATGGGCTTCCCAATGCAGGAAGTCTGAGCATAGCCTGGGTCATCTCCTACATTGTTGGAAGAGCTATGCTCATAGGTGGAGAGTGGGGCTGACCTCCAGTACGCCACTGACTCTAGGGTCCTCACAGAAGCACACACACATAGGGGCCAGAGCCTACCAGACCCTGGCCCTCCCTCATCTCCAGGAAGGGTAGTCACAGTCACTCTCCCTACAGAGAGTCAAGGGAGGCCGAAAAAGTCATTCACATTGGCACTTATAAGACTCACTCCCTATTCTGGTGGGGCCCTACTAAGCCTCATTTCTTTATCCCTTCAGAGGTTCCCCAAATTCTTTCAACAGTAGGAGGCAACCTCAGATCAACCAATCTTCCTTTTAGGAACAACAGTAGGCAGAAAGAAGAGTTAATTCCCCAACCTCCTCAAAACATGTCTTATTCATTTAGGGTGAAGCTTGTAAAACACGGCAACACGAAGGCCACCTGTGACTATAGTTTGTCGCCTTACCGCCTGCTTAGCGTCTCACAGCTAGAAGGGGCAGAAGCAGGTCAAGATCTGCAAACGTCCCTCTTCCTATACAAAGTGTTCAGAGCAGCAGGGGTCACATTGCTGCCTCTGAGCATTCATTCGCTTGCCCTTCCTCGAGGCTCCCAGGCAGGACTTGGGGTTTGGGAAACCATCAAAAATTCATCAAAAGTTGCCATGAGTCCCTCCAGTTCCTTCATTCTCCACCAGGCTGCTTTTCTGGATTTTATAAAGCAGGCCAGCCATGGGAGAAGCCACAGATTTAATGATCCATCACTTATTTGGACCAACACGGAGCTGAAGGCAAAGAAGCAATCAGTGTTTAACTCCTGTCCTCGGGAGGTAAACCCAAAGATGTGGGAAAATCTTGTCTAGCCAGGCATGGAGCTGCCAAATGCATCAACCCAAGGGAATCATCAACAACATTCATATCAACCATGCGCAGTCAAACCTGACCACTGGTCTCCAGGCTGCTTAAGTCCCTCAGTCCGCAGCAAGGAAACCCTGCCCCTCTCCTGTCATGTGGTCTTTCCAGCTCTCCCCACACACTTACCTGTCCTAGGAGAGCTGAGATAAGGGAACTCTTCCCACTTCCAACATTCCCACATATTCCCAAGACCTTCCCCTATCAGAGAAAAGAGATAAGACAGTTACTCCCCCACATTGTCAGGGGGGCTTGAGCTCTATGCTTACCAGGCCAGGCAGGACAAGAGGCTACTGTCACCTCTACAAGGTAGCAATTGCAGCCTCAGCCCCCAAGTCTATGCACAGCTTGGAAGGATGCAGAGATGTGAGTTTTAATTAAGAGCCCTCCCTCGTGCAGCAAGCAGAGTACCCAGAGGGCTTCTGGAAATCTGGAAATCCTGTTCACACACTGATGTAAAACAGCCTTGTGCCAGTTTAGGAGACACAGGCTCTGGATATGAGGGTTGTCCTGTGCCCAGAGACCGAGGAAATGAGTCTAATGACAGGTAAAGGGGGATATGGCTCAGGGGGACAGGGGACGTCTTTGAAATACAGAGAGCTGAGTGATTTCAGAAGTCATTTTTTAAAGAAATCTTTTATCATAACAACTCAATTTAGAACTCCAAGTTTTTTCACTATTTCCACAGAATGACTTTATAGCTGTACATGTGTCAACTCGGTCATCAAATTGTCACTGAGTACCTGTGATGCACCAAGCATTGTTCTGAGCTCCGGCAGTCACCCTGACTCCGGGGTTACCACAGAGGCTCATTCGAGATCCCAGGGAAACCCTAGCCACCCAGAAGATGAATATAACGGGTGAATCCTGTGTTGACCCCTACAGAGATTGTGTTTTAGCTGGAGATGGACAGAAGGACAACTGAAATGTGGGGATCATCAAACACGTATCATAGACAGGGCAAGGAGTGGGTGGAGATGGAGGTACAGGGGCAATCAACTAGAAAGCTGATGACTGATTCACTTGTGCTGGCCCAGAAACACATGCTGCATGAGAATTGGAGTGAGAGCACCTTGTTTGGGAGGTGCAGGTAGCACCAGAGAGAACGGGGTGATTCAGGTAAAGAACAACACCCATAAACCACGTTCTGTGAAGTTAGCCCATCCAGAAGACAAATGAAGCCCTGGGCTGGTGGGAAACACTGAGAAAGTGAACACAGTTTGTACGATACTCCAACACCCCTTCACTACCTGTCAGTCTCGGACTCTGTGGGTGGAAGGTGGACAAGTACACTCAGAGGTCCCAGGCACATGGGCCAGGACAGCACTTGTCACAAGTGACATTGAGTGATGCCTGAAAGAGGTAAGGCATGGGTCACATAGGCCTCTGGGGTAACCCCAGAGAGAGAGAGGTAGAGAGACTGTCTGCTTCTGTGTTTAAACAGAGGTGGCATGGGGAACATTCTAGAACATTTGCAAATAGACCTGCTGCAACCCTTTAGAACAGAGATGCATTCAGTATGGATCCGAATATGACTCCTTTTCCACCCCAGGCTAGATTAGATAAGCTCATCACCTTCGCCATACCTAGCATGAGGCTTGCTGCCTGTCATCAATAACTTCTTTGACTCCTCTTTATGGAATGTCACACACACCATACTAGGTACTGGGAATAAACCACAATCAGGACAGATGGAATCACTGCCCCAGGGAAGCCTCAGTGTCAAAGCTGCAAGTATGTGAGGCTGACCCCTTCAGTCACAGTAGCACTTCAAGATGATGAGGCTACTTATGGAGACTTGGTGAGGACCAGCTTCAGAGAGCCTCCCTATAAGCCTCCACTGAGTCCTGGTCATTCTGTGGGGCCAGTTAAGAACCTCCTAGGCCCATTCTTTTCTTCAGAATGAATTCAGGAGGCCTGCATCTTCTGGGAGTCTCATTATTTATTTCTCATTCCTCAAATGTTATTAAGAACCTTGCACCGGGCGTGGGCTCAAGGCTAAGGCTATGACTCTGAATAGCATACCCTGATCTCATCCTGGGGGCAGCATCTAATAGAATCATGGAGCTAAATTTGGAGAAACTCAGACAGCCTGAATTTAGAACTTCTAAGGGCAACACTTAAGTTAGCTGTGGTTGTTAAAGGGAAAAGAGCAGCGGTTGCTAATAGAAGTTGAAGCTCACCACGAGCTAAGCATTTTGTATGTAGTTTCTCTGTTGTCACAAACCACCTTGTGAAGTGAACAGGCAAAAAGAGAGGCTTTTCAGGAGCTGAGGCAATCTGCCCAAGGTAAAGTAGCTGTAAGTGGCTAGAGCCTGGAACTATCTCACAAAATGCTGCCTATGCCTTTGATGTGTATTGTGAAGATGTGTTGCTGTGGTTGGTGTAATAAAAAGACTGGATGGCCAATAACTAGGCAATAGGTATAGGTGGGACTTTCAGGCAGACAGAGAACTCTGGAAAGACGAAGGTGGAGTCACCAGCCAGACATGGAGGAATCAGCATGGGCAGTATGGAGATATGAGGTAACGAGCCACACGACAGAACATAGATTAAAATAAATGGGTCAACTTAAGATATAAGAACTAGTGGGACAAGCTTAAGATAAGGTCAAGCTTTCATAATTAATAGTACGTCTCCATGTCATTTTTTGTGAGCTGGAGGCCCAAAGATAACTACAGATGCACAAATCCAGACATTTCTGTATAACAAAGATAGTGTGGAGCAAAGCAATTAGAGGACTGAAAAACAGCTCCCTTAGATGATACCAGTTTTCTGAGCTGTCTGAAGAAATGTGGGTGCTGCCCCCAGAGGCAGGGGGCAGCTACAAGAAAGCAGTGGTTTCACTGGAGTAAAACACAACTGAAACTTGGGCTCCATGGCACTGAGCCCACCAAACATTCGATACCATTTCCAGGGAGTGTGTGGCAGATGGTTCTGTTAGCTGCAAGAGGGGCCAGTCTTTAGCTACCGAGCTTGTCCTTCTGCAGCATAGGGGAAATCAGTCAATGAGATGGGAGATTACATCACTAGGCACAAGATTAACGCTGAGCCTGCTGCTGCAGAATCAGCACCACCTTCAGAGCGCCATCATCATGTTCCCAGTGCAACAAGATGCAGATCCGAGGAGCAAGAGGAGGCCAGATGCTCCCTAAATCCATAGCTTTATCTAAGGGTTCGACAGTGCTCGCTCTTGAGGGAAGGAAGGACTATAGTGCCTGGCTGGCTTGGTGAATTCAGCCCTACCCCCTCACTAGGCTGGTTCAAACAAACAAACAAACAAAAACATTGCACTGTGTTTTGTACAAAAGCAGTATTTTGCAGTGGGTAAAAGAAGAGGCTGAGGGAGGGAGAGGGGGGACAGAGTACAGACTAGAGGCTGAGGCAGGAAGAAGATGAGTTCCTGAATAGCCCAGACCTCATAGTGAGATCCTGTCTTAAAACAAACAAAAAAAGAATACAGATTGAGTTGGATGGTCTAAGTGTGCAGTCTCCTCCACATTGCTGACCATGTGACCCGGCCCTTGTCATTTAGCTGCCTTGTGCCTCAGTCACAGAATAGAGTAGCGTTTGACGTAGCTAAAAACATTAACTGTGTGACAGGTGAATAGGTGGGTTATTGTTCTCTCTCTCAACAGTCTAATGTGAAATTGCAGACAATTCTAAAGCCACTACTAACGCTGGTCAGTTTGAGGCTAGCCTCCTGAATTGGCCTGTTCATTCAGAACTGTAACTGGCAAGGGCTAAGGGTTGGGCACTTGAAAAGCACACAAGAGGCTTTGGATTCTAGCTCCAGAACCTTCAGAAAACAACATTGTACCTAGAACAGCATATGTGGTGACCCACATCTATAATCCAGCACAGGGAGGCTGAGGCAGGACGATGACCAGTTTGAGACCAGCCTAAGTTCATAGTAAGACTCAATCTCAAAAACAAAATGAAACAAAAACACAGTGGTTCCAGGGAAAGCAATCAGCCCCAGTGAAAACCATCTCCTCTAAGTCGGAGGAGAATGCTGCCACATCCATGCTCATTATTATAACGTTGGACAGGGAAGACAGAGGACCTGATTCAAGACATCCCACCACCTCCTCCAGCTCAAACTGAAATTTATGGGGCTTGAGAAAGCCATAGCTACATAACACAAGGAGGCAGGGTGGCGACCATGCCTTCAGAACTCACACCTGCTGCTCCAGCTTGGGTGCTGATTGCCCCTCACAGGGAGGGGCACTGGTTCATATGACAGCACTGTTACCAGGTGGTGTTGAATTTTAGGAGCAGACACCCTAGAAGGAGTGTTCAGGTCATTGCAGTCATGCCCTCAAAGGGGACCATGGAACCCCCTTCTTTTTATTCCATGCCTCTTGGCACATGATGTACGTGATTTATTTCACTACCCACCCTAAGCCATGATGGACTGCCTTCACAAGAGGCCCACAGCCTGATCTTGAACTCTTGAACTGTAATCTCCAAAACTAAGTCAAAATTCTCTCTCTCTCTCTCTCTCTCTCTCTCTCTCTCTCTCTCTCTCTCTCTCTCTCTCTTCCTCCCTCCCTCCCTCCCTCCCTCCCCCCCTCTCCCCTCTCCCTCTTACCCCAACCCCAGTAAGTAAGCCAGAGTAGATGTGAAGTTTTCCTCAATCACCTTTCACCTTATTTGTTGATATGGAGTCTCTCCCTGACCCTGGTTTGACTGTAGGGACCCACAAGCCCCAAGGATCCCCATGCCCCTGCCTTCCCAGTGCTGGGATTACAGGCATACGTGGCTGTACCTGCTTTTTATGTGGGTACTGGGGCTCTCAACTCAACTCCTTAGGTTTCCATGGCAAGCACTTCACCAAGGACCCGTCTCCCCAGACTCCCAAACCTTAGCCCTTCACAGATTCATTGCCTAAGATACTTCATTACCGTGATACAAAGCCGACTGGCACACCCACCTTTCTCACCACAAAGCTGATGTTGTGAAGAACTGACTTGGGGCTGCCACTTTGCCACTCCGGGCTAGCAACCCCCTGCGCTGATGGGCTTTGCTCACTGTATAGCTCTGACCTCTGTTGCTTGGAAATACGCCTTTTCTGGTCTTGTGCCTTCGGTGGGTCACTTCTGTTGATTTCTTGTTCCCATGTCAGGGTGGCATTTGCTAAAAGCAAGATAGTGTCTGGGTCTTCTGGTTGGGTGATGTAGGATGGGGGACTCTTAGCTATGAGAATTTTCTAAGATTAAAGAGACAACAGTAAATGGGCAGATGTCATCCATTTGCAAGAATCCTCCCATATGTCTTCTAATGACTTCAAATTATATTCTGGGCATTTCTACCTAGGACATCCAGGACTGACCAGAAGTTATTCCCCCGGGAGTGCTGAAACAGAAATAGTCCACTGACTCAAACTATCTGGGACAGGTGTCTTTTAACCCTGAGGCCTATGTGGGTCACCCACATTGGAGAATGCTGATCCAGCAACATTTCTTCCTCATCTGCAAGACAGTGAGCCTCTGTCCATGGGGGATGGGCTTCACTGTATGACATTGATACATGTGAAACCAAGGTCCATTTGTTTAGTCTCTTTGTCCTCTTCCCCACTCAGCTCAACAAAGCATTTGCAAGGTACCAAATGGTACATGTCAGCCTCTGGGGTAAAAAGTAGAAATGAACACATAAATAAGGCATAGTTCCTGACCTTGAAAAAAACTGTTTGTGAGGAGAAGGGGACATGAACAGATCGGTGCCGTGAAGTGTGACAAGGACACAACACTGCAATGGCCAGAGAAAGGACACATGAGTCCCCTTCCTGGAAGTCCATGTGTTTGGCATCCGAGCTGAGTCTGTGCAGGCACCTGCCACATGGGCAAAGAAGAGGGAGAAGAGAGAGCAGGAAATGTGGGTCGAGGCCACGTGGCAGACAAAGAAGCTGCAAAGCATGGTCTGGTAGGTGGGCAGGACATGAAATAAGCCACCCGGGATTGCTGAATCACAGAGCTCAAGGTGGAAACAGGTGTGGAACAAAGGTGGAGAAACTGAGGCGCCAGTGATAAGGGCTCTAGTGCAGTGCTGGAAGAGACAGGAGTTCACTGATTCCATGCAGGCAAGTGCTGGGTGGCATGTGAGTAATTTAACAGCTCGCTGGGAACTGAGTGGAATCATGATTTTAGGAGGACAGCTTTGGAAAAGGAAGACTGTCTATAAGTCACTGTGAGTTCAGAGGACAAGTGAGCAGACTTTAATGAAGGTGATGGATGGGACACCTTTCCTGGCTTTCCAGTATGGTGGTGATACACAGTGAATGAAGCACTGTTGATTCTTGTACCTGGAAGTGGCAACAGAGTGTCTGCCAGTCCGTCTTACAAGAGTGCCTCTCCTCATTGAGAGGACAGTAACTGGAGTCTCTACAGGGCTCTAGACTATTTGGAAGCAAGAAAATGGGTCCAGGACCCCGGAGTGCTTGAGATGAGTCCAGATTTCAAAGACAACTGAACTGCCATTCCATGGGCAAGAATTTCCTTCTCCCTTCTCTGTTTTTACCTCAAACCCATCAAATGCCATTCTTGCATCTCACATCTTACCATGGACATAGCTTCCTGAAGCACCTGGTCCTGTACCAGAACAAGAGCTCCGAAGAATAAAGACTGTCTCTCTCTTTTCTCTCTTCATTTCTTACATGCCTCAGATTCTTTGGTGGATAAATAGTGACTAAATGATGACCCTGAGGTGATGCATGTCACCACACTCATCATAGGACAAACCAGGGACAGACTCAGTGCAAAGGCTATTTGCACTGCTGGAGCAAATTGGAATCCTGCCTTGAATGAGTTTTGGAGGTTAAGAACATTGCCTCTGTGAATAGACTGTCTCATTTTCCCTCCAGACCACACCTCCTTCGAAACCTTTACCAGTCACGCTCTCCTGTGCACACCAACTATTCCAGCTTCATGTCCACACACCTGCAGGCCTGACCCAGCCCTCCCAGAGACCTGAGCAGCATCTCCATTTCCAAGCATCACCCTCCCTCGAGAAATGAAATCTCTTCCCTACTCACCCAATGTTAGTTATACCTTCATTCTCTTTAGAGAGACACTGGCTTCGGCCACTGCTTTGACCGAGAAAGGCAAGATTGCAATTGAAAACTTCATTACATTAAACATGGCAATCACACTAAATGCCTGAAGAAGGAAAGAGAGGATTGAGGGTTTAGGACTGCAAGTCACTTTGGCTCCAAGCTGCTATATCCATGGGGGGGGGGGGGTTATAGTTACTGACATAAGAAACAGTGGTACAATTGGGATTCACAGAGGAAGGCTTTTTCATTTCATGGCTCAGAAACCATGGGTTGGCAATGCAGGGGCAGTGGCTTTGTAATCTATTTTGCTTTGGGAATTTTCACAGAAGTGGTGGGAAATGTATACTCTTGTCTATCAATCCAGAAGGGAGACTATACCCTAACTGAATAACTTCATACATATCCGTCCACACCATGTCTTTATGCAAACCAAGACTGCTCATTCAATGCCCTGTGCAGTTTGACTAACTAACTTTCTGCTCTAGGTCAGTCAGTGGCATCTGACCCTCTGGGGCCACAGTATCTTTCCCCAGAGCACATAGCTCGAACATCACTGACCATAAGGGTTTTTCCTCTGAGCCCTATCCAATATCTCTGAATATTGGAAAACCTTAGTGAAGCTTTCTCCTTTCTGCTGGCTCCTCAGGGTGCATGATTTCACCTCTCAAATACCATCTTCTCATATGTCTGACTTCAACTATCAGCCTCTTTCTACCCCATTTACGAAATTAATAACACAACTTCCTCCAGCAAATCCCAAATGACATCTGCTGCCGAACAAGCCCTGTGGTCCCATGTTTGAGCTAATTCTACATTGCTAAGAGGATAACAATGGATACCCCCATCACATCTTGTCCTAACTCTCTAAATCAAAAACTACCAACTTCACACACACACACACACACACACACACACACACACACACACACACACACACAATTGTTTGGGACCAGTAAAAGTAGTCACAATAATTGAGCAGTGTTCTACTCAGGCAGGACACCCTTGCCACTCATTCTGGCTTTGGGTTCATGACCAGGTCTGGAGTCTTACAGTCCAAAGAGCCTGAAAATAAAACCACCCCTCTCACACACAAAAATGACATGTGTAGTAAAGGAATTAGGAGAGGACGGCCAGGCAAAATCATCTGCTTCTCATCATGACCTCCCCCTGAAGTTCCTGCATTGGGTGCTATGTTTCCTCCATGAACTTAGCTATACTTGATCTCCCCACATCACACACACACACACACACACACACACACACACACACACACACACACACATCTCTCTTCCTTCTGCTGACTTTCCTCCAGCTGTTTGTCCTGCAAATTCTTGGTTTACTATCTTAGCTGGGCTTTTCTTCATTTAAATCTGAGCCATTTTCCCTCTAGCTCAACATTTCTTTATCTTTGACTACACTATTCCCTTATCAAAAGCTCACATGCTTTACATTCACCCCACTTGCCCCTCAGAGGCTTCAGCCCACGCCCACCTTGCCTGATGAGAGCAGGTAGTGTAGAGCATCTAAGAGTCCCCCATTCCATGATTCCCCAGGCTTTATGCCAGACGACTCAGCCCTTCTCCCACCTACACTGACAGGAACGACTACCAGGCTGCTCACTGATAACAAAACCAAGGCCAGGTATGGTCAATGGTCTGTCACAAGTCATCACTGGGGAGTAGGAGAGTCAAGATTTAAATATGATAGACCCAGTTCTCAAGCTCGGAGGAACCCTAACTCCAAACTCAGCCCAGGTCCTTTGATTTCGCCTTACCAGAGAACAAGCTAATGGCCCCTATGTGTAGCACATACCACAGGAGGAAAAACAACCGAGTACTCACTAGGCTTCCTGGGCTGTTTCCCCCCCAAAGCTATGTTCCACTGTTTATCAGCCACCCCTGCTCTGCATGGACAGATAAGAATAGCAGGCAGGTTCTCCTGAGCACATTGTCAGCCCAAGCACTCATATACAAACTAGATCAGAGTCTGATGTATAACTCAATGGTACAGTGCTTATCTATAATGCACAAGGCCCTGAGCTCAAACCTTAGCACCAAAAACCAAGTTTGCATTTGATTAATTAGTCCATTGAAGTATCCTGGCATCATTTGGTATATGGCAACTAAGAGTTCTAATGCCATGTATGGCGAAGTTGGAAAGGGGCTTCTCACCTGGGGCTTGCCAAGGATAGGGTGCCAAAGTGACCTGATCTAAAGAGAGCTCTTACCACAGGAGCAGTGAGCTTGCGGTTCAGGAAGATGTGGCAGGTGAAAGTTGATACGATGGCTATTGTAGACACAATGGGAGCCAGGGCTGAGTTTCCACTTTGGACATATCCAGCCCTTTCCAGTAAATGTTTTTCTCTCTTTCTTATATCTGCAAAGAGAAGGCAATCTGGGGTGATCTTATTTTGCATGCCACATCCTAACATTAAGAAATGTATTGCTCCCAGACCGGGGAAAAAACTTAGGAGGTAAAAATTTTGCCACACAAGCATAAGGACCAGAATTTGGATCCCCACAACCCTCATAAAATCTGTGCAGGAAAAGCCACTGACTGTAATCCTGGCACTCAGAAGACAGAGCAGGGACTCTCTGGGGCAAGCTGGTTAGCTAGACTAGCCAGAATAGCAAGTTCCAGGCTCAGTGAGAGGCCCTGCCTCAATGGATATAGTGAAGAGAGATCAAGGAAGACACCCACCAAACATTAGCTTCAGGCCTCAACATACATGCACCCATACATGTAGAAGCATGTATACATACTGCAAACACACACACACACACACACACACACACACACACACACACACACACACACACAAGCAAAAAGAAAGAAAGATTTGAATGAGAATGGCTCCTATAGGCTCATATGTTTGCATGTTTAGTCTCCAGTTAGTGGATCTGTTTGAGAAGGATTAGGAGGCGTGGTCTTGTTGGAGTAGATGTGGCCTTACTGGAGAAGGTGTGTTACTGAGGGCTTTGAGGTTTTAAAAACCCATGCTAGGCCCAGCCTTGTCCATCCCCTCCCTGCTGCCTGCAGATCAGGATGTAAACTCTCAGCTACTGCTCCAGCACCATACCTGCCTACGTACCACCATGCCCCCTGCCATGATGATCATGGACTAACCCTCTGAAACTGTAAGCAAGCTCCCAACTAAATCATCTCTCTTGGTCGTGATGTATGTTCACAGCAATAGAATAGTGAAAAGATGAATTATTTCTGCCTGATTCTCCTCCAAATGAGGGTGAAATGTAAAATATCGAAACCCCAGGACATGAACCTAGCAGCGCTAGGCTCTCAGAACTCTTGCAAGCTGATGGTTTCCAAGGTCCCTCCCAGCCCTGATTCTCCATAGATTGAGTCCTAAGCCAGATGCCCACAGGGGTCAGACAAGGACTACACATGACAGGAGTGCACACAGGTGAGACCAGAGCAAGAGTGTGGAGTAGAACAGAATGGAAAGGTCCATCTGGGCCCAGGGAGCCTCGTGTGGCTGGGCCTTCAACTGCCCAGACTTCATGGATGAATTTTTATATGCTAGCACCCTGAGTTTAGACGCAGGGAAGGAGTGGAAAAGAACATTTGTAAACATTGCAGAGCCACGGGTACATATGGTAGCCTAGAGACATCCAAAGTGGGGCCCCTGCCAGGTACCCCAGGGACAGATCTAAAACCTCAGGGGAATGTCTCCTCCTCCTCAATCTGCAAGGTGCTCAGGATTCTGGATATACTAGGAACTGACCAAATTCTGGCCTCTTGTGCAAACGCGCTTTCACACGGGCACTGTGGCCACCACACATTCCTCTTGCCTCCCTAGGTCCCACGTTCTTCCAGCTGTGAGGACAAGGAGAAGCTAGCACGGTGTCCAACAGGACCTGCTCAGTGGAGGAAGTTGTTTTCCGTGTTAGTATTGGATCCAGGACTCTACTGTCCACGTGCCTTTCACCTCAAGAACCCAGTGTCCACATCTTTGCTCCTACCAGGGGACTTCCCCTTTAGCCCTCACCCCCTAGCTTCTCTTGGATCCTTTGGGGTACTCTCCTCAATTTACCTTACAGAATTGTCAATCATTCAGGAGTTGAATTTGGTGTCTACTGTAGGACAGGTGCTGTGCCTGGGGCTGGGGACACAGAGTAAGCAGGGCCGCAGCCCTCTCCCAGTGAGGAAGATAGGCAATAAAGAAAAACAGAAATAAATGCCTGTAATTCCACCACTTAGGAAGCTAAGGCAAAAGGGTCTTGGCTTGGAGGCCAGCATGGGCTTCACAGCTAGTTTCAAGCTAGCCTAAAACAATGTTGCAAAAGAAAAGCAATAATGATAATAAAACTTGAATAAGATAATTTCCAATTGTGATAGGTGATCATAAAGAAACAACCAGAGCTAAGTGATAAAGGAACACGCTTGGAGCGCTGGTCCAGGTGGCCTCTGGAAGTCAGCGATGGGAGGAGATCCAAGGTCAACACAAAGACAAAAGGAGCATCTAACAGGACAAGGAACCTGAAGCATGTAAGAGAATGGCATGATGCTTCTGGAACAAAGAGAGGTCCTCATGGCTAGAGTAAAGTCAGCACAGGTTACAGGAAAACGAGGTCACCAGACGCCAGACCTACTGAGCCAAATGAACACGTCAGGATTTCACTAGAACGATCTAATTTTGAGTCATCTAAGTGAGATAAGAAACCACTGAGGAATTTCTAGCAGGGAGGAGGCAGTGACTGGTACTTTTAAATGTTACTCCAGAGCAAGATGGGTGGCTGCTGGGAGTGAGAGGTGGGCTGCTTCTTCTTCTGTATGACCTCTGAAGGGAGACTGGCTTGGACCAGGGTGGTAGTGGAATCAAGAGAAGCAGATGGGCTCTGGGTGTGTCTGGAGCCAACAAACACACGTCTATTTTCGAGCTTTACCGTACAGCCTTCCCTGAACCTTTACAGTGGAAACCCTTTCCCTAGCCACTTGGGCGGCTCCCAGGGTCTGTGAATAGTAGAATTTTGATCTATCGTCATCGAACTGACTTGTGCTACACTGAATTGGGTTACATTGAATTAAGTCCAACGGAATCAGAATTAAATGAAATGAAATGAAATTGAATTAAGTTCAGAGTGTGAAGGAAATATTTCTGCATCCTCAAAGAAGGGTCTATTGAGTTGCTGATATTCCAGCCAGGGGATCTACCTCTTTTAGGGGCAAGGTTTATTTGTTTACGTGACATTATCTTTGGGTTTTTTTGTTTTTAGTTGAGGGACCCAGTGTCTCACTATATGGCCCAAGCTGCCACAGGCCTTGTAATCCTCCTGTCCGTCTCCTGAGACCTGGAAGTCTAGGCCTGCACCAGCACACAGGGTGAAGCACGTGTTTTAGAACCAGTCCCGGAAACACAGACACAGCTTCACCCCAATTTTATGCTGATGCCTAAGTATGAAGGAAGGTCCTGAGAGCTGACTGTAGCCGTGACTCTGGTCCTGGAGTCACCACCACCTGAAGCCACACCAGCAATTCTGTAACTGTCCCTGCAGCTAAGGTTGACATTCAGTGGTACAAGTTCTGCAGCCACTGAAGGACAGCAAGGAGAGGGCCTCCCACATCCTCACAGAGACGATCGAACCTAAGCTTTTTGGGAATTGTCTGCTACAGCCTGGCAGCCCTTCTCGAGTGATCCAGGGCATCCTGGAGTTGGGTATTTTGGGAGTCTATGTCAGAGAGGGAATGACACTTGCGATGAACAAGCCTGTGGGGCATCTGTGTAAGATGAATTACTAAGCGGTCTTATTAATAAAACCCGGAGCCAGATATTCTGAGAGATCAGAAAAGCAGAAAGAAGCCAGCTGTGTTCTCACCACTTGGAGATCCTCAGCCCAAGAGACCTACTTCCTTTATGCCCATGCCTATATGCCTTTCTGTTCTGCCATCTCACTTCCTCTCTCTGACCAGCTACATCACTTCCTCTTCCTGCCCAGCTCAGACCTCCATACCCTTATGGTTAGTGCTGGCATTAAAGGTATGCACCACCAAGCCTGGCTCTGTTCCCAGTGTGACCTTGAACTCACAGAGATCCTTCTGAGTGATAGAATTAAAGGCGTATGCTACCATTGCCTGACTTCTATGTTTACTATAGTGACTGACTTTCCCCCCCGGATCCTCAGATAAACTTTATTAGGGTGCACAATATATTGGGGACACAATACATCACCACACATCTGCTTCAAACCAAAGCTACTGAACATGCAGATGGAGGTGTGGCAGCAGGAGGAGCAGGCATGGACACCCCTACCCTGTGTGAGGACACCCTGGACATCACTCAGGAAAACTTCTATCCCCTATACTCGGCATTCTTTTCTAAACTCTCCTGAGGGGCTCCCCCTGTCCCCTTAAGGGAGACTGTCTCTTCCATAGACCTCCAGGGTCTTCACGGAAGGGAAAATCCTGGGTACCTTCTCTCGGCCTTCCATCTGAGGACCAGAAGAGCTATGCTTCCATTAGAAGAGTTCTGGAGGTCCCCAGATCTTTGGAGTGTGGGGAGGGAAGCTGCTTTGAGGTAAAGGCCACAAACTCTGCAGATCATCATTACCCTTTGCGATCCTTTCCAGAGGGTTCTAGGGCCTGACTTGGGAGTAGGAGATGACAGGGGAAGGGAAGAGAAGGGCATAGATTTCCCCAGCTCTGCCCTAAATAAAACAGCAATGCTGGTAGGGAAAAAAAGATTTACATTTAGATTTGACTGAAATAGGCTTAATATCACCTGGGGAAAGAAATCTACAAATGCATCCTCATATCTGCTCAAGAGGTATTGTGTCAGTGGGCCATTTAAGGACAACAAAGCCACTAGGAGCAAGGAGAGATAGGTGTGTGTGTGTGTGTGTGTGTGTGTGTGTGTGTGTGTGTGTGTGTGGTTGGTGTGTGTATGTGTGTGTGGTATGTGTATGTATGTGTGTGGTGTGTGTATATATGTGTGTGGTTGGGGTGTGGTGTGTGTGTATGTGTGTGAGTGTGTGTGTGGTGTGTGTATATGTGTTGTGTGTGTGGTTTGTGCGTGTGGTATGTGTGTATGTGTGTATGTGTGTGGTGTGTGTGTGTATGGTTTGTGTGTGGTGTGTATGTACGTGTGTGTGTGGAGTGTGTGGTGTGTGTGTGTGGTATGTGTGTATGTGTGTGAGTGTGGTGTGTGTGTGTGAGTGTGTGGTGTGTGTGTGTGAGTGTGTGGTGTGTGTGTGTGTGTGGTATGTGTGTATGTGTGGTGTGTGATTGTGTGGTGTGTGTGTGTGTATGTGTGTATGGTTTGTGTGTGGTGTGTATGTATCTGTGTGTGGAGTGTGGTGTGTGTGTGTGTGTGTGTGTGTGGTATGTGTGTATGTGTGGTGTGTGTGTGAGTATGATGGGTGTGTGTGTGTGTGTGTGGGTGTGGGTGTGGGTGTGGGTGTGTGTATAAACATCTTCTAAGTCAAGGAAATAACCTGACACAGCCACTTTACTGCTCAATAGGTTTGTGATTATTTTTGTAAGGGTAACTGGCCAGCACTAGACTTCCTGTGCCCCAGAAAACATGAAACCATATGCTGCTCACCCTTAGGTTCATTAGAACAGATGTCTGGGTCTATTAAAAATTGCTACAAGCCTTGAAAAATCCTCTGACCTACAAGAGTACCTTAGGGGGTCCCCTCAGCGCCCAGGTCCTGCCCCCTGCTCCAATGCCTGGCCCTGAAGAACCTTAGGAACCCCTTAAAAGAGTATATTCTACCCATGTAAGTGCTTTGCAAAGCAGCTGCTCATCTTACCGTGAATGGTGTTCATAAAAGATTTCTCCCAGGCGTACATTTTAATCAGCTTGATGCAGGTCAGAAACTCATTCATTGTCTGAACTCGCTTGTCTGTCACTGAAATTGCTGATCTTCGGAAAGCTGAATTGAGTTTGGCCATAAACATCTGAAATCGAGGTAAAGCAACTGTGTTCAGGGAGAATTGCTGAATTGCAGTTGGCCTAAAAATCCAGGGATGAGACGATAGCGCCAAACCAAGTTCTAAGGGAACTTGGCTGGGAGACTCAGTCCAGTCCTTCCTCGGCACTCTGGCAGTTGGCTTGGCCTGGAGGAAACCACTGGGAATCTGTCAGGTGACAGAATGAAGTGCCAAGATGCAGGGCACGAAAATAGGAACTTTGGCAAACTCCACAAGCATCCCTCCTCTCCCAGGGCACTTGAATTCAAGTTCTTAGAGAATGGCACAGGGCCAGGAACACCTGTGTTCATAGAGGCTCGGCCTTTGGGTGCATGTTGCAGAAATGAAGCCCTTCACTCAACTCCACAAAAGTGGGCATGCCAAGGACAAATGTCAAGCATTTTGCACTGCACATCCCTGACTTACCTGGATGGGAATGAATATAATGTACACGCATATCCCGACAAGAGCTGTGGACCCCAGAATGAAAAAGGCATACACCGCACAAACGACCATTAGGATGGGGATGGTGGCTGGCAAGGGACAAAATAAGGCAGCCTCAAACAAGGAATAACTATCACTTGATAGTATATTGAGCACCTAGAAAGAAAGCACATAGGTTCAGGCTTGGGACCCTTCTGGAAGCTTTCTGATTGGCAGGAGGTGGGTCACATCAAGGAACCAATGAAATGAGTAGTGCGGTCTCACTCTGGCATGACTTTGGAGGGCTAGTTTCTTAGAATTGAAGACCCCAAAAAATAGAGCTGCAAAGAGATATGCTGGGTTTTAGTAGCATGCTGAGGCCCTATTTATGTCTTTATTAACACAGCTCTGCTTTACTCAAGGCAGCAACACACCCAACAGAAAGACTATTCTGTGGGCATGGTGGTCCATGCACATGATCTCAGCATCTGGGAGGCTGCAGCAGGAGAGTCTGGAGTCTGGGCCAGCTTGGGTTCCACAGTGAGACCCTGTCTCCAAACCATCAAAGAAGGAAAGAGAGAGAGAGAGATGAAGGACAAGGTAAGGAGGGAAGGTGAGAAGGGGGAGGAGACCCTTCTGCCTCCTTTGTGTAGAATGTGGCCATGTGACTGGGGGTTGAAAGTGATATGTAAGCCAAAGTACAGAATGAGACCTGGGGAAGAATTTTTTAAAGAAAACTAAGCTCAACTACAGGATGATACATTATTTGTGTTTTTCTCTCTCTCCTACTGACTTTCTGAAAAGGTTGGTGTGGTTGGATCTCTTACAACCATCCTGAGTCATTAGGAGAGACACATGATAAGAAAATGATGAAGGGAAGGCTCCCAAAGCCACCCTCCCCCAAGCCCTGAATTGCCTTCTTCCAAACTTCTTTAAAATAAAGTGAGATCAATTCCTTTATTTGCTTTTTTTAAAAAAAGAAAAGAAAAGAAAAGAGAGTCTTGTGTATTCCAGGCTAACCTTAGATTTTCAGTGTAGCTAAGGATGACCTTGAGTTTCTGACCCTTCTGCCTCTACCTTCTAAGTGCTGGAACTGCATGGAACCACCACACCTGCTTCATGTGGTGGTGGGGCTGGAACTCAGGGCTCTGTACATGGGAGGCAAGCAGTCTGCTAACTGAGCTCTGTCCCCAGCCCTTGTTTCTTCCATGCAGAATCACTCATAATTGACATAAGATGATTTGAATACACGAAGGAGCAACTGGGAAAGAGAAACAAGTCCTTTCACCAAATACCATGTGGGGTTTCCTTGACTAGGGAGTTTTTCTTGAATAAGAAGCAAGGATTTTATTACTAAAGATTAAGGGTTTAAGAAAATGTCAACTCTGCAGGATGATGCATATGTTTCTGTATTCTATCTTTGGCGCCAGAGATCTTACACAATTGGAATATTTTTTTTCCAGAAGGGAACAAGTTCTTACTACATAGCCCAGGCTAGCCTCAATTTTCCAGTGCTTCTTCATCTCCTAGGTACTAAAATTACAGGCATGCACTATACTTAGCTTGTCCATCAGTTTTACCAAATGTCTATAGTGTGCTCTATAACGTTTTATTGTCCTCACTATAATCAAAGGGCTTGAATAATATCACCCTCGACCTCAGTGCCAGCTTTCCAAGTTCTGCAGCTCAGATGTTAGCCCTCCTCTGTCTCGATTCCTCTTGTGTTTTGAGTCACCCACCACCTCCTCACTTAGCAGGGGAGGTGAGATGATGTGATGGGCAGGATACAAACAGGTGAAAAGGAGGCTGGTGCTCCACCCAGGAAGCACATCCCACACACTCACAGAAACAGGACCAGTTTTTCAGGTGTACCGTCCTTCCAGCCCTGCTTACCTCACCCGCAGAGATGTGAGTCAACGTCTTGAAGGACAGTAGGTTTTCGAAAACTAGTGTGGAGAGAGCCACCTTCAATCGAATCGCTGTACGGTAATTTATGGCCCAGGCAAGGGCCCAAAAGAGGACTTTGGTAAACTCGGTGGCAAAAAGGGCCAGACACAAGCAGATGCCAACCCCGATATGTCCGGAGGAAATGCTGGTAATATGCTGAAGGATTTGGTGAATGAGAACTGTCTGTAAAACAGTGTGGTGAAGAGAAGGGAGGGCTGCTGGATGGAGCTCCACACAAGAGGCCTCTAATGACAGCAAACTGACTTTACAGGCAGAATTTTCCATTACTTTCAGTGGTGGTGGCTGCACTTGACAAGGACTGGCTTTATGAAAACTCACCCCCAAGGAGCACAGAAATAAAGACAATGCACTACAGCCACCAGCTCTTAGAGAAAGTGACTAAGGACATGCTTTGCCCAGCTGGGGACCTAGGAGACAATTCAGAAGAGCCAGCCCCACTCACCGGCCCCAAGGCTGCCATGATGATGCACAGGATGTTGGCTACAACATCCATCAGCACCCGAGTCCTCTGGAATTTCCATACCACGCGGCCCAGAGAGGCCTGCTCCGGCCCCACCCTCTTAATTTCTTCATCCCAGAGGATTTGAAATCTGCAGTGAAAGAAAGGGAAGAAAAAAGGACAGGCAGTCCATGTCACCTATCATCTGGAACTGCTTTGGTGAGCCAGCTCTTGCTAGTGGCAGGACACAGCCTCGTCCCGGTAACTGGTGCCTTTGGGCAAGTAGTGTTCATTCGTTTTCTTCTTCCTCCGGGCAGGTAACTAGTGGGGATGGGGTGGGGAAGGAGGTGATGCCCAGACAGAGCTGCTGATAATGTCTGCACGAGGCACCACCCAAATCTTTCCTTCCCCAGGCTCTGGCTACAACATCCCTAATATAACCATAAGAACACAGGGGCAATAGAGTTAAAAGTCCTTCTCACAGGGGAAAAGCTGTCTCTCCTTTTTAGCAAGGTATGATGGTACATGCCTATAATCCAAGTACTTTGGAGGCTGAGGCAGGAGAATTTGAAGTTTTAAGTCAGACTAGGCTATGTAGCAAGACCTCGTTTCAAGGAAGCAAAAAACATTGTCCATTTCAAAGATTTGAAAGGAGTCCTGCACAACAGGTCTATGGCACATGAAGCGAAGGATGCTAGAAAGCAAGGCTGCGCAGACTCTCGTGAGACTTCACGGGCCTCAGGAAGGTGCTTAGGTGGTGCCATGCTCTAAGCGCAAGGAAGACAACTGCAGGTCTTTAGGTCAGTGCAGTGAAATAATTTGCTAGCAGTATGATTGACTGTGGATACTCGAAGCAAAGGTAAAAGGTCACACAGGACGTGAGGGGCATCAGGCCAGAGGCACAGTGCTGGCAAGTTAAAAGGGGCTTCAAGGACAGGTAGCTAGGGGTGACAACAGGACTCTTCGGTGAATTAGATGTGGGAGGGGAGGAGAATGGGGACCAAGGGTAGAAGCCAGTTTCCCAGTGTTAGCAACCGTGAGAATGGAGAGGGGGGAGAGGAAGAGTATCAAGAGGTGGGGCTGAGGGTCAAGAATGAAACTTTCAGCTCTTGCCTAGCATGGGTGGAGCTATGTATGCAATACACAGGCAGAAGAAAAAAGAAAAGAAAATTCTACATTCATACAAACCCAAACGAAACACCCTGCACTTTAGATATTGAAATATGTGAGGCATCCAAGCGCTGCCGATGCCGGACCTATGGAGTTCAGATTCTAGAAGAGAGGCCTGGGGTGAAGCGGGGCACATCATTTATTTGGTGCTTAATCTCCTGACCTGAGTGAAATCAGCTAAGAAAAAAGGGGTAGTTGATGTTGGGCAGGAAACTACTGAAAAAAATCCCTAATGGGCCGGGCGGTGGTGGCGCACGCCTTTAATCCCAGCACTCGGGAGGCAGAGGCAGGCGGATCTCTGTGAGTTCGAGGCCAGCCTGTTCTAGTGAGATCCAGGAAAGGCGCAAAGCTACACAGAGAAACCCTGTCTCGAAAAACCAAAAAAAAAAAAAAAAAAAAAAAAAAAAAAAAATCCCTAATGGGAAACACTAGCTAGAAAGCTAGAGGGAAAATCTAGCAGCACAGAGACACTGGTATGGCCCCTCAAAGCTCCCTGGAAATCTTCTCAAGACTGGAGAGAAGTTAGCAGTAGCTGAGATTTCCTCGGGCAGGGATAAGGGGCAGGGCAATTCTTCCCCTAGAAGCAACTTCAAGACCATAGCTTGTGCTCAGCCCCTTTAGGACATATTCCAGGATGTGTCATACTTTGGACCATGTGGCCAGGACAAAGAAAGGTAGCAGATTTGAGGACCTTGGTCAGGACATTATAGGTCCTCAGAACCCATTTCAATGCAAGTATCAGGAAGAACGGAGTTTGGGACTGGAGAGATGGGGGCAGTTAAGAGCACTTGTGGCTCTCCCAGAGGATTCAGGCAGGTTTGATTCTCAGCACCCACATGGCAGCTCACAACAATCTGTAACTCCACTTCCGGGGATCTGACACTCTCTTCTGACCTCCTCTGGTGGCAAGCATGTGCATGATGCTCATACAGACATACAGGCAAAACACTCAGCACGTTAAAATCGAAGCATGAATGAGGTTGGAGTCTTTGTGCAGATGAGAACAAGTCTATAAATTTTCAACTGAAAAGAACAAGGTGGCAGCCACACAGTATGTTCAATTTTTAAAGATTTATTTATTTTATGTATATGGGTGTTTTGTTTGCATACACAGCTGCACACCCAAAGAGGGAATTGGATCCCATACAGCTGTGGGTGCTGGGAATTGAACTTTGGGCCTTGGTGTTCTTAACCACTGAGCCATCTCTCCAGCTCCATGTTCTATGTTTTAACTTCAGCATAAAAAACATAGCCTGGACTGGGTATGGTGGTGCACACACCTTTAATCCCACCACTTGGGAGGCAGAGGCAGGTGAATGTCTCTGAGTTCTAGGCCAGCCTGGTCTACGGAGTGAGTCCCGGGCCAGCCAAGACTACACAGTAAGAGCCTGTCTCACGGAGGGAAAAGGTGCCCTGTGAGAGGGAAAGCAGACGAGGCATTTCTGCAAACAGTGGCTGCACAGGTTATGGTTGCAGAGAGTAGAAAAGAAGTCTAAGCAGGTTTACCAACACGTTAATGGTGCCTGCCTCTGGTAGGGGAACAGAAACATGGTGGGAAATAGTTTTACTGCTTAAACGCTGCCAAGCTATAACTAACATCAATTAGTTTGGACCAGTGGTACATTTTTACAAGTCAAAATTGGTTAATATAGGCAGTTTGCAATGCAGACATACAATGATGATATTTTTTAAAAAAATAAAGCCAGAAATGATGCCTAGAGCTTCATGCAGCAGCCAAGGTAAGGCTAAACAGCACAAAGTCAAGCAAGTCCCCAACGAACTGTCCACAGTGCTGCTCCTCTAGCTCCCGGCCTCACACTAAAGTCCCCTGTGTCCTTTCTACCCAGCCATACTTTGCCTAGAGACCAGGCCAGAAAGTGCAGGCATTTCAACCCACATCTCAGTGAACAGCTACTGAGAAGGGTCAGCAGCTCCCAAAGGTGTCAGTTTCCACAGGGGACACAGAAGCAAGTAAAAGAACTCTTGGGATCCCTCGCTTACAATGCCCTCCCCTTGGTGACCCTGGTACCTCTTGGCGTTGATGTCAGATGAATCATATGGTGATAGTGGGGGCAGGGTCTCCACAGTCAGCGTGTGCTTGTAACTTTGAATCATCACAGGTGTGAGCCAGGAAAATGTGGCAAAGGACAGCAGGCCAGCATCATCCACAGGATTGGGTGCCAACCTAGAGCAAATGGTATTCTCGTGTTGCTGGGTGCTTGGGCTCACTGCCCTAATACCCTGGCTTGAATCTGTAACCACCATGATAATCACAGTCATGTGTGGACCCTGGAGCTTGCATTCATTAGCCCTTTGGGTAGTTCTTGGTCTAGCTTACCCCAGCTCAGGAGAACAGATGGTGAATGTTCAGGAAATATGCAGGTCAGCCATTAAACACAGCCAATATTCAAATCTGAGTAACAGACATTTAACTATATTGTCCTGAAATCAAAGGTAACCATACCCAAAGTTTAGCATACCTATTTCCTCTATTTTTGTTATAATTTTTAATACATTTATTAGATTATATGTAAAAAAAAAACTACAGAATGTTGCATTAATTTGCATGTCATCCTGCATGGGGTCCATACAGATTGTTCCAATTTTAACAAGCACGCTGCTGAAGTGAGCATTTACACCACTGTCCATATCCTCTTAGGAGTTCCTCGAATTCATTTACCATCTTTGTGGTGGGAATACCCAGGAGTGGGGAGCCACTGTACATCTCTCCAACTTCACAATCAGCAATGTCATGTTGGTAGCCAGGATATGGTACTTACAACATAAAAAATGAAAAATATGTGGAATGAATATAACCAAAATGGAGGGTGTGTGTATGAGAAAGGAGAGAGAGATTGTCAAAACTAAATAAAACTCGAGACTTGCTATAAGCCCAAGAGATGCCAGTTGGGCCTCTGTACTCAGAAAAGGCTACAGTTTCTAGTCTTGTGGTTAATGGTGTATAAAATAATACACCAAACTACTGAGTATATGTGCTTGGAAGTCAGGCTGCCTGAGATACTATCCTAGAGTTTAGAAATGACCTACTCTCTGACTCTCTGACACTTGGTGTGGTCATGTCAGCAAAAGGTGAAGTCTTTCCCTCACCCTGAATCTGAGATGCCCTGTAGCTCACTTTGGTGTGCAGAACGCAGTAAAAGTAGAGTGTTGGCCTGAGCATAAGTCTAAAGGTGTCCTATCTGCATCCACTGTTGTGGAATAATCTTTTTGTACACTGTGAAGATGTGTCTTTGCCAAGACACCTTCTTATTGGTTTAATAAAAAGCTAAATGGCCATTAGCTAGGCAGGAGGTATAGGCAGGACAGTCAGTCAGACACAAATGATGCTGGGGAGAAGAAAAGTGGGATCTCCAGGAGAGGCAGAGGAAGCAAGGCATGCTGGAGGACAGGTGAAGCCATGAGCCACATGACAATACATAGATTAAAAATATGGGTTAATTTAAGTTGTAAGAGCTAGATAGTAACAAGCCTAAGCTATGGTCTAGCATTTATAATTAATAATAAGTCTCCATGTCATTACTGGGGAGCTGGTGGTCCTGACAAAAAGGTCCAACTACATCCACTCATTTTCTTGTAAGTCCACTGGAGGCTGAGTGACTACATGGCCCAGTTGTCTCTATTGTCCCAGTCAACTACCTGTTGGTCAACACTCAGAAGCACAGGCACCTTGCCCAGCATATGCCTGAGTAAACCTGATCAAGACCAGATGAACTACCCAAACCATGTCAGCCCAGGTTGCCCGTATAATTGTAAGCTGAAAAAAATGCTTTCAGCTGATAAATGGTGAGGCAGTTTGTTAAAAATCAAGGCTACACTGCCAGAGCCATCTCAATCTGAGTGGCCAGTGCTTCCATCTGGAGCCAGGATGTTGTCTGGGCTTAAGCTGCTGCCGAGGGCCATGTCTGGGTCCATGGTCCAGCTGCAGATGAACTGTGTATTGATGTCTGTGGTCCATGTCACCTCAGGGGGCCATAGGAAGTATCTATGAAGAAATCAGAGGGCCATGCTGAGCTGGCCCTGCCTTTTGCTGGCCTAGGGAAAGCTTGCCCTGCCTCTCACTAGACACTGCAGCAAGAGAGCTGGCCCTGACCCTCACGGGAGAGCTGACTCCTGCTCTCAGCAGAGATGTCGTCCCTCACCACAGGAGATGGACACCTGATGGCATGGGCATAAGGGAGCTGACTCCACCCCCTCATTTGAGGAAGATGGCCCCAGTGGCCTAGAATGACCAGCTTGGCCACCACTCAGGCCCACAGCCAGGCCTTGGGTTGACCCACCCTAACATCTACCCCATCTAGGACCTGCTGGAGCTTGTGAAGGGACTGGTTCTATAGAACAATACTGGCAAGATCTCCAAGCCACAGGAAGCCACAGGATATCCCAAAGGAGTTCGGGTGAGGATCTAGTGAGGATGGTGTACCAGAAACCAGAGGCCTTAAACCAGACCAGTGACTCCTTGCAATCAACATTTGCTAGTAAAACTAATTGGACAAAAGGGTAGACTGTGACACACCACTCTAATGCCACCAGGATGAATGAAGAGGTGTTGGAGAAGAAGGAAAAATGAAGAGGTTGGTTTTGTTTTTTATTTGTTTGTTTGCTTTGCTTTGGTTTGGTTTGATTTTTTTTAATTTTCTTGGAGGGGATGCTGCAGGGGTGAGGGGAGAATATGGGAGGACCAGGAGGTGAGCAGAATTAAGGTGCGTGATGTGAAATTCCCAAAGAATCAATAAAGAAATTATGTTAAATAAATAAAAATTAAAAATTAAAAAAATAAAGGCTGAGATATCCTGGCCTACAGCCATGGCAGAAGACTCCTGCCTGCCAGAGGCCACACTAGTACTTAGAAACCCAGGAACCCCAGGTACTTGGAACTGCAGAGGCCATACCACTATCCAGAACCCCAGTGACCACATCAGTTCCCAGAACTCCAGAACCCTAGAGGCAATGTGAGCACTCAAAACCCCAGAGGTCATGCAGGCCACCAAAACCCCAGTGGAGACACATTATTGAACACAAAGACTGGCTGGTCACCAGAACCACAGGCCACTGGGGCCAGAAGACCAGAGAGGAAACAGAAAGCAAGGGGGAAAAGCATCCATCCAACAAAAATACACTCAGAAATTAGCACCTAAACCTGTGATAACCCCAAACCCAAATGACTAGACGTGAGTGTAAGAACACAATAACACCAAGAGCAATATGGCACCACCAGAGCCCAGCCATCCTACTATAGCAAGCTCTGGATACTCCAACACAGCTGAAGCACAAGAAAATGACCTTAAATCAATCTAAATAGGAAGTGAGCAAATCCCTTAAAGAAGTACAGGAAAACACTAACAGGTAAAGGAAGTGAATAAAACTGTTCAAGACCTGAAAGTGGAAACAGGAGCAATAAAGAGAACACAAACTGAGGGAATTCAGGAGTTGGAAAACCTAGGTAAGTGAACAGAAACTACAGATGCAAGCCTCACCAACAGAACACAAGAGATGGAAGAGAGAATCTCAGGTGTAGAAGATAGGATAAAAGAAATACATACAATGGTCAACAAAAAATGTTAAATCTAAGAAATCCCTGACACAAAATATCCAGGAAATCTGGGATATTATGAAAAGACCAAACCTAAGAATAATAGGAATAAAAGAAGGAGAAGAATACCAACTCAAAGTCCTGAAAAATATTTTCAACAAAATCATAGAAGAAAATTTTCCTAACCTAAAGAAGGATATGCCTATAAAGATACAAGAAGCTTACAGAACACCAAATAGATTGGTTCAGAAAAGAAAGTCCCCTTGACACAAAATCATCAAAATACTAAACAAACAGAACAAGGAGGGAATATTAAAAACTGTGATGTTAAAAGACTAAGTAACATTTAGTGGCAGACCTACTAGAATTACACCCGACTTCTCAATGGAGACTTTAAAAGTCAGAAGGGTGTGGACAGATGTCTTGCAGACTCTAAGAGTCCACAGATTCCAGCCTAAACTACTACACCCTGCAAAACTTTCAATCACCATAGATGGAGAAAATAGGATATGCCACGACAAAGTCAAATTAAAACAGGATAGCCAAAAATATAGCCCTACAGAAGGTACTAGAAGGAAAATTCCAACTATAGTATGTTAACTATACCCAAGAAAGCACAAGAAATAAATAGTTGCACACAAACAAAACCAAAGGGAAAAACACACACTACCAACAACAACACAATAATAGGAATTGACAATCATTGGTCACTAATATATCTCAATATCAATGAACTCAATTCCCCAATAAAGAGACACAGAATGGATAAAAAAACAGGATCCATCCTTCTTCTGTATACAAGAAACACACCTCAACATCAAAGATAGATATTACCTCAGAGTAAAGGGTTAGAAAAAGATTTTCCAAGCAAATGAACCCAAGAAGCAAGCTGGTACAGCCATTCTAATATCTAACAAAATAGACTTCCAACCAAATTTAATCAAAAGAAATTGGGAAGGAAATGTCACACTCATCAAAGAAAATATCCACCAAGATCGTGTCTCAGTTCTGAACATCTATGCCCCAAATGCAGGGGCACCCACATTTGTAAAAGAAACATTACTAAAGCTGAAATCACACATCAAACCCCACACATTAATAGTGGAAGAATTCAACACCCCACTCTCACCAATGGACAGGTCATCCAGAGAGAAGCTAAACAGAGAAATAATGGGACTAACAGATATCTATGGAACATTTCACCCAAAAGAACACAAAAGAATGTACCTTCTTCTCAGCACCTCATATAACCTTCTCCAAAGCTGATACATACTTAGTCATAAAGCAAGTCTCAACAGATAAAAGGAAATTGAAATACCCCCATGTATACTATGAGACCACCATGGATTAAATCTGGATTTCAACAACAACAGAAAACCTACAAACACATGGAAACTGAACAACTCTCTACTGAATGATCACTGGGTCAAGGCAGAAATAAGAAAAAGAATTGCAAACTTCTTAGAATTCAATGAAAATGAGTGCACAACATACTCAAAATTATGAGACACATGAGAGCAATGCTAAGAGGAAAGTTCATAGCACTAGTGCCTTCATAAAGAAACTGGAGCCATCTCATACCAGCGACTTAACAGCACACCTGAAAGCTCTAGGACAAAAAGAAGCAAACACATCCAAGAGGAGTAGACAGCGGGAAATAATCAAACTGAGGGCTGAAATCAGCAAAATAGAAACAAAGAGAACAATACAAAGAATCAATGAAACAAAGAGTTGGTTCTTCTAGAAAAGCAACAAGAAAGATAAACCCTCATCCAAACGAACTAAAAGGCAGAGAGAGAACATCCAAATCAACAAAATCAGAAATGAAAAGGGAAACATAGCAACAGACACTGAGGAAATTCAAAGAATCATTAGGTCATACTTTATAGACCTGTACTCTACAAAATTGGAAAATCTAAAAGAAATGGACAAATTTCTTGATAGATACCGCTTACCAAAGTTAAATCAAGATCAAATAAATAGTTTAAGTAGATCTACAAGCCCTAAGAAAATAGAAGACATTTCAAAAGTCTCCCAAACCAAAAAGAAAAGCCCAGGGCCAGATGGTTTTAGCACAGAATTCTACTAGACTTTCACAGGAGAGTTAATCAGTACTCCTCAAATTATTTCACAAAATAGAAACAGAAGGAACATTACCAAATCCTTTCTATGAGGCCACAGTCACACTAATACCCAAACCACACAAACACTCAACAAAGAAAGAGAATTACATAACAATTTGACTCATGAACATTGTTGTGAAAACTCAATAAAATACTTGCAAACCAAATCTAAAAACACATCAAAAAGATCATCCACCATTATCAAGTAGGCTTCATTCCAGAGATGCAGAGATGGTTCAACATATGAAAATCTGTCAATCTAATCTACCATATAAACAAACTGAAAGAAAAAAAACCCCACAAGATCATCTCATTAGATGCTGAAGAGGCCTGTGACAAAATCCAACACCTCTTCATGACAAAAGTCTTTGGGAGAGCAGGGATACAAGGGACATACCGAAACATAATAAAGGCAAAATATGGCAAGCCAGTTGCCAACATCAAGTTAAATGAAGATAAACTCAAAGCAATTTCACTAAAATTAGGGATAAGACAAGGCTGTCCACTCTCTCCATATCTATTCAATATAGTACTTGAAGTTGCTAGCTAGAGCAATAAGACAACTAAAGGAGATACAAATTGTATCAAGGGGATACAAACTGGAAAGGAAGAAGTCAAAGTATTATTATTCACAGATGATATGATAGGATACATAAGCAACCCCAAAAGCTCTACCAGGGAACTCCTGCAGCTTATAAACACCTTCAGTGAAGTGCCTAGATACAAGATTAACTCAAAAAAACAAGCAAACAAACAAAGTAACCTCCTATATACAAACAATAAGTGGACTGAGAAAGAAATCAGAGAATCAACACCTTTACAATAGCCTTAAATAATATAAAATATCTTGGTGTGACTTTAACCAACCAAGTGAACAACCTGCATGACAAGAACTTCAAGTCTTTGAAGAAAGAAATTGGAAAATATATCAGAAGATGGAACAATCTCCTATGCTCATGGATCAGTAGGATTAAAATAGTAAGAAAGGCCATCTTACCAAATGCAATCTACAAATTCAATGCAAGATTCCCCATCAAAATTCCAACACAATTTTTTATAGACTTGAAAGAATAATACTCAGCATCATATGGAAAAACAAAACAACAACAAAAAAAAAAAAAACCAGGATAACTAAAACAATCCTATTCAATAAAAGAATTTCTGGAGGTAGCACCATCCCTGATTTCAAGCTCTATTACAGAGCAATAGTAATAAGAACCACATGGCATTGGAATAAAAGCAGACAGGAGGATCAATGGAATGGAATCAAAGACCCAGATGTAAATCCACATACTTATGGACACTGAATTTTTACAAAGAAGCCAAAATTATATGGTCTAACTGAATGTCAGCATGTAGAAGAATGCAAATAGCTCCATATTTATCACCCCACACAAAACTCAAGTCCAAATGAATCGAAGACCTCAATATAAACCCAGATGCACTGAACTTCATAAAAGGGAAAGTGGGGAACAGCCTTGAAAGCATTGACACAGCAGAAAACTTCTGAACAGAACACCAATAGCTTGGGCACTAAAACTGACAATTAACAAATGAAACCTCAAGAAACTGGAAAGCTTCTGTAAGGCAAAAGGCACCATCAATAGGACAAAATGGCAGCCTACAGAATGGGAAAAGATCTTCACCAACCCCAAATCTGACAGAGGCCTAATTTACAAAATATATAAAGAACTCAAGAAATTAAACATAAAAAACCCACATAATCCAATTTTAAAGTGGGGTACAGGTCTGAACAGAGGATTCTCAAAAGAAGAATCCTAAATGCCCAAGAAGCACCTAAAGATATGTTCAACATCCTTAGCCATCAGGGAAATGCAAATTAAAACAACTCTGAGATTTTATCTTACACTTGTCAGAATGGCTAAGATCAAAACCATAAGTGACAGTTCATGCTGGAGAGGATGTGAAGTAAAGGGAACACTCCTCCATTGCTGGTGGGAGTGCAAACTTGTACAGCCACTTTTGAAATCAATATGGCAGTTTCTCAGAAAAATGGTAATCAATCTACCTCAAGACCAGCTATACCATTCCTGGGCATATACCCAAAGGCTACTCAATCATACTACAAGAGCACTTGCTCAACTATGTTCATAGCAGCTTTATTTCTAAATAAATATTTCTAGCAAGAAACTGCCAGCAACCTGGTTGTGCCTCAAATGAAGAATGGATAAAGAAAATGTGGTATATACAATGGAGTATTACTCAGTTGTTTAAAAAGTCATAAAAAATGCAGGCAAATGGATGGAACTAGAAAAAAATCATCTTGAGTGAGGTAACCCAGACCCAGAAAGACAAACATGGTATGCAGTCACTCGTAAGTAGATATTAGTTGTAAAGTAAAGGATAACCATGCTACAACCCACAGACCCAGAGAGGCTAGGTAACAAGGAGGGCTTAAGGTGGGAGGAGGCACATGAATCTCCCTGGGAAGGGGAAAAAGAATAGACATCGTGAGTGGGAACAGAAGGGATCAGGTGGTGGGGGGATGGAGGGGGGATGATTGGAATTTGGGAGCATCTTGAGGGTGAGCTAGAAACCTAGTGTAACTGAAACTTCCAGGAATCTATGAGGGTGACCCTAGCTAAGACTCCTAGCAATAGGGGATATGGAGCTTGAACTGGCCATCTCCTGTAACCAGGCAAGACACCAACCCAGCCACACCTACAATTTGTCCTGCCTACAAGATGTGCTGTGATAAAGGTGGTGCAGAAATTATGGGAGTGGCCAACCAATGACTGGTCCAGCTTGAGACCTATGACACGAGAGGAGGCCCACCCCTGACACTTCCTAGAGGGCCTTCCCTCTTCCAGATGCTTGATAGCCCAGAGACCTAGGATAAAGCCAAACACAACTGGCAAAAAAAAAAAAAAAGTCAATGAAATGATTCCTAATGATATTCTGCTATACTCATAGATTGGCGCCTAGCCCAGCTGTCATCAAAGAGGCTTCATCCAGCAACTGATGGAGACAGATGCAGACCCACAGCCAAACATTAGGTGAAGCTTGGGGAATTCTGTAGAAGAAGGGGAGAAAGAATTGTAGGAGCGAGAGGGGGCAAGGATATCACAAGAAAACTCACAGAACCAACTTAACCTGGGCTCAGGGGGGCTCACAGAGACTGAACTGACAACCAGGGAGCCTGCATGGAACTGACCCAGGCACTCTGCATATACGTGACAGTTGTGTAGCCTGATCTTCTTGTGGGACTCCTAACAGTGGGAGCAGGAGCTCTTCCTGACTCTTCTGATGGCTTTTGAGACCCTATTCCTCCTACTGGGTCGCCTTTTCCAAGCCTTACTACAGGGGGAGGTGCCTAGTCTCACTGCAACTTGATATGCCATGTTTGGTTGATTTTCATGGGAAGACTGCCCTATTCTGAAGAGAAATGGAGGAGGACTGGATGGAAGAGGCAGAGAGAAGGTGAGGGGTGAGGGACTGGGAAGAAAAGAGGAAGGGGAAACTGCAGTCAGGATATAATAATAATAATGATGATGATGATGATGATGATGATGACAGTGATGATGAAAAGGAAAATTTTAAATTTTTTAATAAATAAATTTTTAAAAAGAAAAAATGAAGGCTGCTGCTGAACTGCAGGTAAGTGATTTGACCTCTTCCAATTGTCTTCCCATCAACATGGTGACAGACCCTCTAGAGTGCAGAATAAAGAAGTTGGATGTAATGACACACACACATCTACAATCCTCGAACTTGGGGGCCTGAGCCAGGAAGAGCTTGAGTTCCAGGCTACCCTAGCCTACAAAGCAAGACTCTGTGTCCAAAAAAAAAAACAGGAAGGAAAGGAGGGAGGGAAGAAGGGAGGAAGGAAGGAAGGGAGGAAGGAAGGAAGGAAGGAAGGAAGGAAGGAAGGAAGGAAGGAAGGAAGGAAGGAAGGAAGGAAGGAAGGAGGGAGGGAAGGAGGGGGAGGGAGGGAAGGAGGAAGGAAGGAAGGGGAAAAAACTGAATGAAAAGTGTATAAACTTTATGAGCCATCCCAGCACAAGGAAAGCTCCTGTAACATGAGCTGTCTTTCTCTCTCTGATCAGAGGAGGAGTCAAGAAGTTAGGGATCCATAAATGAGTGTCTGTGTGGCTGGCTGGATGAATAGAAGGACAGACATATGGAGGGGCACATGAAAAGCAGAGGTTGGGATCCCTGGGGGCCCTGCCCACCTCAGTCTTCCTCCTGGCTCACCTTGCACAGGGTCGCACTGGGATCATGGTTTTCAGGCTGGGATCATATCTCTCAAAAAAGGATCTCCTCTGGCCTCGCCGATCCAGGTCTGAGAAGAGGTAGGGGCCTTCACCCACCATCCTGATGGTATCCAGGAGCCCTAGGCTCTTGGCTTTGGGACGGTTTCACTCTGCAGACAGAGATGGAGAAGGCTCACTGAGAAATGGAGATAATAGGAGTAGAGTCAAAAAGCCACTCTTGTGCCCAGACCTCTTCACTTGCTTTGAGCCCTTGGATGTGGTTTTACCCATTAGTCTCAGCATCTGGGAAGGACTGTGGCCAGACACCGCCAACACCCCTTCACCTACATTTTGAGTAAGCTTATCCCATTCCTCTTCTCTACCAATCTTGAGTTGCCTGGAAGCCATAGATCCTCCTGTGAGATTTCAGTAAGGGTCAAGACATCGGCAAGTCTGGTTCTCAGCCCAGCAAGGCAGTCTCAGGAAAAACGGTTTTGCTTTTTCAGTGTGAGTGAATTCTGTCATACATGCACACCTTTATTTGTCCAGATTCTCCCAGGAGCTTATGCATCCACGTCCCCTTCACCTAGATACCCAGTGGGCAAAAAACTTCAACAAGGCCACTCTTCAGGACCAGCCACATCTTGACAAGTCCATGTTTCCATTGATTCTATGGCCAATGCCACCAGTAAAAACCCGTAACTCAAGTGGAGAAAAATTATTCTGTGTCTGCCTGGCCTACAGATCAACTGCTCCATTTGTGGAGTTCCCACAGCAGGCTCTTCTTACTTTAAGGTCCTGTCCTTTTCTGGAGCCTACCCATGTACTTGTCCTGAGTTATCAAGACGTCCCTCTTCCCAGGTACAAGAAATAAATGTCCTTTTATTGCTAATCTGAGTTGAAATGATTTCTGCCCCTCTTAAGTAGAGGCCATATCCATAGTGTTATATACACACAGGGCTCAATTTCCTGTGAGTTCTCCCTGGAAGTTCTCACGACTAGAAAGACAGGAAAGCAATTCTCATCAAGGTGTTAATGACTGTGGATAAACTGTGGATGGGCCACACTGGAAGAGGCCCCTCAGATGGACTCTTTTACAGATTCCTCACTATCGTGAAGAGGAAACTGAGGCTAGGAAAAGGGAAGGACTTCCTTACCCTAAGAATGGCAGAGCCTTGTTTGCGGCAGTCCAGACTTGGGGAAACTGAAGCTTGCTCCTCTTCTTCCGGCGGTAACCCTGGAAAAATGGCTTACGTGTCCTATATCACAAGAGGCATGCCTCTGGAACGATATACCTTTTTTCCCCTCACAACAAAATCTGAAAACAAAAACTGCTTTATTAAAACAGGAAAAATCCAAGCAGAAACTGAAACATGAAATCGGATGGGAGAGGCACATGTTTTATGTGCAGTAGATCTGCTCAAAAATCTCTTCATTCAGTTAATGAATATTAATGACCAGAATACCACAGACACAGCTCCAGAATCCTAATTCAATCAGAAAACAGAAATTTCCAAAGTTGCTAAACCTTTTGCTAATATGAGCCCTACCCCTCCACATGTACAATCTCACAGTCTGCTCCAGCCAGGCTAAATGTATTTATGTCCCCTGAACAAAGTGCCAATCCCTCCTACTGTTGCTGGGTCTTTGTGCACACACCTGGAGCAATCTGGCCCCTCCTTCACTTGTCCAATTCCTGTCCAGACTCTGAGGCTCAAATTACACCTCTGCTTTGCTGAGAAATTTTCCTTTTTACCCAAACAGACTGTGGGCTTCATGTCTCTCTCGCTAACAGCCGTACTGAAACACCTAGCCCCATCCCTGTACCTATTTGGTGCACGTGTGTCCGCTGGAATTGATAGTAGCAAGTATCTGAGAAGTCTAAAACAGAAATGCTCCCCTTGAAGAAAGAAGAAATGAGCACTCAATAGCACCATTGTGCTATAAACCACGGGACAGCATAAATTCTAGAAAAAGGCACCAAAGTAAGGTGTAAGCTAAGAAGCCATGGTGGTGGTGGTGGGGGGAACGACACTGAATAGTAGACTACCCCACAAACACCTAAAAAGCAGACAATAAGGAAAGGAAAAATTTAAAAACAAACTACAACCATAAGAGCTAAATGGAAGACAGAAAAAAAGCAAGTTAATAGATTTAAACTAAAGCATACCAATAATCATATTAGATATACAGAGACTGTTAGTAGAAAAGCAAGATCCCATGATATGCTGCCTATGAGAGACACATTTTAAACATGAAGGTACAGTTGGTCGTGGTGATGATGCCTATAAGCTCAGCTATTCTGAAGCTTGGGGTAGAAGGATCACAGATTTAAGTCCTGCTTGATCAGGTTAGCACAACCCTAGTTTAGGGTACAAGTAACAACAGCAAAGAACCGGAGGTACAGCTCAGTGTTAGGCACCTGCCTACCACGCCCTAGGGTCAATCCAAAGTACCACTGAGATAAATAAATACACAGGCAAAGTGGCTGGAAAAGGAAAGCCCCAATGGTAAGACATACATATGGGGAAAGACATGAATGGGCTTTGGAGAGGAAAGTGTTTCTTAAAGCAAATCTAAAGCATAATTGAAGTCTTGACTGAGGCCACCACACAGAAATCTTGAACTTGTCAATCAGAAGGCATCATTGATGAAATGTTAAGAGCAGCAATGTGCTGATGTAAATACAACCCTTTAACTGTAAAGAATTAGCACATAGAATTTATAAAAGATTTCTATAGACCAATAATGAATAAATACTCAATTTGGAAGGTAAACAAAATATGTAGCTGGGTAACTGACAGACGAGTTCACTGGACACATGAAGCTGGGTGTGGTGGCACAAAGCTGCAGTCCCCTCACTCGGGCGTGGTGGGACACAGTTGCAGTCTCAGTACTGAGAGGACAAGTCAGGAGTGAGTTTGAGGTCAGTCAGTGCTCCATAATGAGAGCCTACCTCAAAACAACAACAAATTCTTTCTAAAACACGCACGAAAACATGCTCAGTCTCTGAGCCGCAGTGATGTTAAAACCACAATAACAGTTACCTCTGATTCTTTCAATAGGCAATATTATAAAGCCTAAAAGTTGTAGGTCTTGGTATAGGTAAAGAGTACACCCATTCTTTTTTTTTTTTTTTTTAAATTTTCCGGAGCTGAGGACCAAACCCAGGGCCTTGTGCTTGCTAGGCAAGCGCTCTACCACTGAGCTAAATCCTCAGCCCCGAGTACAGCCGTTCTTAAACGCTGCTGGTAAGAAAGTAAATTGTGAGCCAGGTGATCATGGCACACGCCTTTAATCCCAGCACTCGGGAGGCAGAGGCAGGCGGATCTCTTTGAGTTCGAGGCCAGCCTGGTCTACAGAGCGAGATCCAGGAAAGGCTCACAGCTACACAGAGAAACCCTGTCTCGGAAAAAAAAAAAAAAAAAGTGAATTGTGCCAATAATTTATAAATCAATTTGGCATCATCTGGTCAAGTTCAAGGTCATCTTATCAACATAGACAGCAATCAGACATGCACATGGCAGATGATGCAGTCTCCCTGCTTAAGCAATTGTGCATAAAGTAGCCTAAAATTGGCAAGCTCCTTTTCACTCCCCTCTCAAATTCTCTCCCGCTTCTGTTATCTTTTGTCTCTTGTGCTTACTGGTGTCAAAACCAACATGCAATATAAAGCACACACACCAGCAAACAGCCCACAGACAATGGAATCTCATGAAAACATACCTTAGTGACTCCTCCAAGAATGTTTGTAGCAGCCGTTTGCCATATCTTCAACATGCACAGATAAGCAAATGGCTTCACAAACTGTGTACTCCAAACACAGCGTATTACCACTTAAAACTAAAGGCAAATGAACTAGGCCCACATATCAACCTATGTGAATAGCACACATGATAAGCTGAGAGGGAGAGGGAGAGAGAGAGAGAGAGAGAGAGAGAGAGAGAGAGAGAGAGAGAGAGAGAGAGAGAGAGAGAGAGAGAGAAAGGAAATACCTAACAGTCTGTCAGGGCCCCTGCACAAAGGCCACAGGAAGTTTTTCCCATGAGGCTTCCCTGGTGCTTCTCGGAAAGCCCTTCACAGCCTTCTCTACCCAAAGCCCCATCTCTGTAGCCCTCTCCTGGCTTTTCTGCCTTCACTGCCAGCCTCTCACCTTGGTCTCCTCAACCAAATGTGATCCAGCTACAACCACCAAATGAAGCAGAGACCTGGGCCTGACTCAGCCGCTATTCACAGCCTTGCTCCTGCAGCCACACCCTCATTACTGCCACCGCATGAGTGATAGTCACTCTGGGGTCCCTGACCTGCTACCTCTCCCTGGCTGAGGGCCTTTTCGGTGTCCACTCCCTGCTCACTGTGAGCTGCTCAAAGGGAGGAGAGCAATCAGGTAGAAAAGATGGAAGAGCTCAGGAGTATTACAGAATCTAGAAGAGACTGAGCACAGCAAAGAGCCTCTTGCATGAGAATCTCCTCCCGGCCAAGACAACACGCTTCAGTCAGCTTGGCCACAGGCTCCAGCCATCGCTCAAGACAGCCCTCACATTGTGTTTATGTAGAAAACGCATAATCTCATCTAAAGGGAAGCCCAGGCACACAGGAGCTCTCTACAAAATTAGCCTGAGCTCCTGAGAACCTTAGCATCATAGAAGAAAAAGGAAGCAAGGAAATATTCCTGCTTAGAGGAAACCAAAACAGGACAGCTCAAAGCAATGCACAGTCCTGTGTGGCATGCTGAAAAGGAAAAAAAAAAATTAAAGAAAGTGAGTGGGACAACCGAAGAAGTTTGCATGTGGGCTGTGGATTGTGCAGTCACGTTAGATTAAAGTTGAATGTCCTGATTTTGATTGTGGAATGATTAAAGATACTTATCATTTTGATGATTCTGGTTATATAAGAATGCATATTCTTGAGAAATAAGTATTCAGAGGAAATATAGCAAATTATCTGAGACTTTCAAATATGTCAATAATAATAGTAAAAGCCAAGTATGGAGACGCACACCTGCAGTTTTAGCATAGAGCACGGGCACAGGGGTCCGGAGGTCACAGACAGTGCTAATAAATAATGCATGCAGAGAATATTAAAGGCATCCTAGCAGCTTGTTGTTTTGTCTGAGTATAGCTGAAATTTCTTATCATCATTCTTATCACCTTTTTGTGAATTTGAAATCATCTAAAAATGAAAAGTTAAACATTTTAAGAGGAAAGAACCCTAGAGGAAACACGTTGTTTTCCTTCTGTGAAACTGACTGCCATTTCCCTGTGAACCTTGCTTGAATCTCAGGGACCAGAAAGACCACACACATGCCTCTGCCATTTGAAGGCAATCACCGTGGCTCACACCCAGACTCTATTCCTTCCTTGTCCAGTCTCAACTTCTGGCTCCTCCACCCTGACAAGACTCAGCCTGCCTCACATATAACTTCTGGTTTCTTGATCACCTCTTAACTGGTGAAGGGTCCTGTCAGCAGCTTGTCTAAGGTGTCAAACATCCCAAGATGCCCAGCACAAAAAGCCAACCTCCCTGACGCCCACCACAGAAGACCGTACACAGGAAATCGATACTGGGAGGCCATTTCCTTGAACACTCCTCCACAGGGACTGCCGAGCTAAGATGTCATAAGACAGTGTGGAAGCTCTGCAGCTGGAACGCTATTTTACTAAAATTGGCAGCCCAGGGTAGGGGGAGTGAGACTCTTTAAATCAGGAAGTGTGCTTTGGGTAACGTCTCTCCGTCTGGCGCGCCATCCTTTGCCAGGAGCAGGAAGCTGCCTAGAGTGAGGAATCTGTTTGCCAGCAGTCACAGGGAAGCAGGAGCAGCTGATGGGGGTGGAGGGCATGATGATAGGCAGCTTTCCAGGCCAGGGACCCTGAAGCCATCATTCATGATTGAGCACCTAAGGATTGGCAAGAGACTGTGACCCCACCCCTGGAGCCCCTTGCTGTTTTCAGGTGGGGGTTCCTAACCTAACTTCAATATACTGGGCAGGCAGAAGCAGAGAGGGCTCCACTTAGAATAAAGAGCACAAACATACACAATTTAGAAGTCCATTTTATATGGTCTGAATGGTTCAATTTTTTTTTTCCAGTTCACAGAAAATATGTATTAAGAGAAGCACATTTTCTTTAAAGGATTCCTTGCTTGGCAGAAAAATCTCAACAGCTCTCATAGCTGGAATCAGACACTGCAAGAAACAGGCGCCCCTGCTCCCCTGAGCCGCAGCTTGCAGCACCCCGGCGGGCCCTGGCCCTGAGCTTCTGGGCTGCGTGACCCTTATCTGTTGTTCGCCTCATGCTGTATTTGCTTTTCTGTGTCCTCGACTCCGCTCAAAGCAGGAGGAGAAAAGATGTCTAGAGGGAAGCTTTGTAAGAAGCATCTTCTCTGCCCACTCCTGTGCTCTGTACACTCCATCTTGCCTCTCTAACTCAGAACACTTGCAAGGGCACATGCAAATCAGACGTCTGATGTTGCTTCCCGTCTACAATGGCTGTCCTTCCTCAGGACTCCATTGACCCTTGGCAGCTCCATTTTTCACCAGAAAACCCTTCCAAATAAGAGGCTACGGTCCTCATCTCTCCATAAACCCTCTCCCCCCTCTCCTCCTCTCCTCTCTCTCTTTCTTTCTCCCTCCCTCCTCCCTCCCTCTCCCTTTCTCTCTCCCTTTTTCCCTCCTCCATGCCTCTCTCTCCCTCTAATTTTCTGGTGTTAGCAATTGAACCCAAGGCTTCTTCTTTGTTACTGAACTATACCCCAGCCCAATAAATACATTATTAATTAAAGTATCCAACGTGTCATAACCCCTCTCCCAACTTCCTTCAAGACCTAAGCTGCCTAGTTCAGAGGAGAAGCTGTAAGATGGCTTTCCTCAAGTCTGGCCCTTCACTTCTACTGATCAGCCATATTGGCTGTCCCCAGTACCTTATGGTCAGCCAGCCTAAAACATTAATCTTGAGTGATGAGGAGCTAGTGTCAGAGTTGTGGGGAGTGGGAGGGGATGAGGGAAGGCCACAGACAAGCAACATAAAGGCCAGGGGAGGTCTGCTCAAAACCTCTCATCCCTAAAGAGCCTAAAATAATAGCTTGAGGCGGTGTCTCCAAATGAGGTCATCCATTTAGTACAGAGATGGTCTACCATGACTGAAAAAAGGTAAGAACTCTCATTTTAAACCTATGAGAGCCACATAGTAATGCAAGGTGAATTCAAGATCTTTTTCGAAAGAATCTCTTGGTTAATTGTGAGCAGTATTGTGAGAGCATGCATGAGCGCATGCACATGGCTGAAAGACCTAACTCTTCAATGTAGGCTTCTGTGCATCACGATGCTCAAATCCTGTCTTGTTTCTCTTTGTTTTCTTTCACATACCACAAGGCTCCAAAACTAGAATTGTCCCAGGCCTCTTTCATCTCCGGGAACCCCAAGCCAAGGCTTCCTCTTACAGGGCCAGATAAGGTCCTACATGTTGCCCCTGCAGCCTGACCTAAGGATGGGTGACAGAAGCCCCTCAGAACTAACTGGGGGGCACAGATTGCAACAGAGATGAGCTTTGCCTGGGCAGGGGATGAGCAAGTTCCTGGGATGGAGATGAAGAGGGAGAGCGGCCAGAAGCCATGGATCTTACCAGCCTCTTCCTCCACAGACCTCAGGCTTGGTTCCATTCGTCCCACCTGCTGGGAGCCTCCTCTTCAACTGCCCCATTCAACTGCCACTCCCACACACCTGAAGAGGGAACTCTGAGGGAGCCAACATTCCCTCAGGCCCACATTAAAGGGCCTCATCCCAGGACTGATCCATAGGACACCGCTCCCAGTGGGGGTTAAAAGCTCACAAGGCTTGCTGGCTTAACCTATCGTCCAGCCTGTCACAGCATACCTTTGTCTATGAGGAGATGAATCTTCCTCCAACCCCCATCCCACTGGGTGAGGAAACTGAGGAGCAGGGCCTCCCACAGCTGGTTGCAGCACAGGGCAGCAGAGCTGAGGTCATTGCCTGCTACTCCAGGCCCTGCCCATTTCTGGTCCCATATCCTCTTGAAAATGTCAGCTGTAGGGGCTAGAAGGCAGTAAGAAAAACAAACTTCAAAATAAAAAATCTCATTTGTTCATTCATTCATTCATTTAACATAAATCAAGGGGCAATTTGAGTCCCCCCCCCTTGCATTGAACAAATGCTCAACCTGAGGCTAGAACTCACTCTTGTGCACAGGACTCTACAGTGAGCACTGCATACTTGGAGGCAGAGGGCTTGGCTGATTCCTTAGTGGCTTCTGTACCTTGCCCAGAGTAGGTGACCAATCACAAAGTTGTAGAAGGGTGCCACTGTGGCCATGAATGAGTTCAGAAGGAGCAGAGTCTCTGATGCCACTGTGGTCATGAATGAGTTCAGAAGGAGCAGAGT